GCGACTTACACTTTTTTTATTCTTTACTTCACTAACTTGTTCCAACAGCTTCATTTTTTCCACCGATCTGTATTGCGGTCTGACAAGGTGCTTCACGAACTGAACCAACTCTGCCAGGTCTTCACCGTTTTTACTGTGAATTTTAATCATTTCAATGTGTTGTAGAATGGTATATCGTTCCATTTGTATTACTGACGTAGTTTTTCTTTGTCAGATATCTAAAAATTACAGCTTCAAAAGTGACATCTACCGAAACAGACGGCTATTCAAAATTATACCTCTTATTCAAAACCCTGCAGAGCACCTCTTCCATTTTCCGGTCAACGTTTAGATGTTTTAATAGCCAATGGAGGGACCTACAGTTTATACTAAACCCCCCCTGAAGAGATGGGGCTTTATGAGGAGCTTTTATTTTCATGTCAGAAAAAAACTTGGGGGGTTGGCAATTCCTGCTGATGGTGACCGGAAGTAGAGAAAGTTTGAGGAGAGAGTTGGCGGAGGTGTCTTCTCGGAAAACCCTCCATAGGAAATCTCGTTCCAAGCGGAGATATCCAAATTAGTACTGAACTATCGCCGAACTCTACAGGAGATGACCAAACAGAACAGACTGTCTTTCATATGGGTCTCTGGTCACAGGGACATCGAGGGAAACTGTAAGGCGGATGAACTTGCTAGGCGTCATACCTATTCCCGATAAAGAACGCTTTGGTATGCCGTTTGCTACATTCAAACTACTTCTCAAAGAATTCATATATGAACAAGCCGCTACAAGGTGAAATGACATTACAATTCGGCACACTCGGCCGAAATGGGATAAGAAGAGATCATGAGATATGTACTTCTTAAAAAGAGGCGATATGTCCAAAGTTATAAGAGTTCTGACAGGCCACTGTCTGATAGGGCGCCAAGCAGAAAGACTAGGGGCTCCCTGCCAGAAGATGCTGCGAAAGCTGCAAGGAGGATGAAGAGGAGGAAACGATCACTCACCCATCTCTTATGCGACTTTCTTGCATTGATCAGGGCGAGGTTACGTAATTTTGGCACCCTCTTGCTGGATGGTCTATCGAAGATAGCAAAGTCTTCGATCTAATGAGGTTTATTAGAGAATCAAAGTGAGCATGGAGCCTGATGGTTCAAGTTTTTGTGGTATCACAATGGGTCTAAGGCAGGCCTAAGTAAATCCGGTATGGCAGATCGGTAGCCACCGCAATCTAACCTAACCTCATCCAGTTAACATGAAAAGAGTTCAACTCAAAAATCATTTAATTTGAATTCTTCAGAATTTCTGTGTATATTTAAGTAATATTTAACTCATTCCAACAAATTGAATATTAAATTTTTTTTTTTTTCATTATTTTCTAACTGCTAACCGGCTCATACACCGTAATTACGTGTAAAAATGTAAAATGAGTTTGCAAACTCAATAAAGCGTACAATTTATATTGAAAACACGAACATATTCCACACCAACACTCTGCTCACTGATTTAGAAATTAAGAATTTGCAAACTCGTGCAATTAATGTAATACATACGACTATGTGCAAGTATGTACATATATATGGATGTAACAATTTTATGATAAGTGCATTCACCAGCAGCACGCCGGGTACAAAAGCTACAATCCAGCGGGAAAATACGTAAATCGAATTGAGAAAAAAAATTAATTATTTCTAATAAATTTTATTAAAATAGATACAGATAAACAACAAATCGTATGTAAATATATACAAACAAACATACAATGTATATATTGTAGTATATAGGTATTTGCGTAATTATTTTTGATAAGTAAACACGAATATCAAATACCAGCTACAGTAAAGTGTAAAATTATTAGTTGACTTTATTTAATTTTATTTAATTTTTTTTATATTTAAATTGTGAGTATCATGAACATAATTAAACTATTTCTAATCGGTATGTAAAATATAATATTATATAATATTTTTTAAGCAAAATAAAATACTTTTAATTAATGATATTAATTTCCCTTACTGGTAAAATCATAGCACATAAAAAAATATAATTTACTAACATAATATATATTGTATGTAAGTAGATAAAGTCGATGCTTTTAAATTTATGGTCCGACACTGTAAAAGCACATACGACATACATATGTACATATGTAGTTCCTCATTGCTCAAACTTGCAAAATTTTCAATTAGAAACACGTTCGCCGGCTGGGTTTTAATATTCCATTTGTTTAACGATAGCAACAATTTAATTTAAGTAAAGAGTATACACTTTTTAGTTTATTTATTTATTACTTTTTTATTTTGTTTATTTTACGGCGGAAAAGCAGTGACTAATAAAATAAGCATCTGCTGTGGAATGTTAGTATTTAAATTATTCAATATTATTTTTTGATAAATTTTTAACAAATAAATAACACAAAATTAAAATAAAATACTTATAAATAAACTTAAACTAAATAAAATGATTTTAAATTAAACCCAATCAAATTAAATAAAAATATAAATTAAATTTAAGCAAATTAAATTAAAATTATAAATTTAAATGAATTAAATGGAAACAAAACTACAATAAAATAAAATACAATATACAAAATAAGTTAAAATAAATTTAAATTGAATGAATAAAAAATAAAATAAAATTAATTAAACTATATACATACATATATTTATAGTTGGCGCTGAAGTGATTTTGAAATTAAATTAAATGAATTTAAAAACTATAACTAATTAGAAAGTGAGAAAATAAAATTGAATAAATAAAATAATTAAAAATAGAAAATAAAACTAAATAATAAAAAATAAAATAAATAAATAAAAAAAAAATTTAAAATAATTATATTTAATATTATTTCATAATATTTTGTTTTATTTCATTTTATTTGATATTTTTGTTATTTTCATAAGCCATATTTTTTATTTAACTTAATAAAATATTTAATTACATTTTAGTTTTTTTAGTTTTTATTACATTTTAAATTATTATTATTCATTTTAAATATAATTGGCGCTTTGTAGTCGCTGAAGGGACTTTTATATTAAATAAAAAATATAACTAAACAAAACAGTGAAAAAATGAAATAAAATAAAACAAAATACACTTCAATAAACTAAAATTAATACGAAATAAATTAAAGTACAATTTTAGAAAATAAAATTAAATTAATTTAAATGAAACAAAAAATGAGATTTTATTTAATTTAATAAATTATATAACTAAATAAAATAGAGACTTAAAGTGAAAAAAATAATATTGTAATTTAAAATGAAATTAAATTAAAAAAAAAATTAATTAAAATTTCTAAATTAAGTAAAATAAAAAATATAACTAAGCAAAATTATAAAAATATGAAATAAAATAAAATAAAATAAAATGAGATGAAATAAATTGAGATGAAATTAAATAAAATCAAATTAAACTATACTAAACAAGTTTTAAGTGAGCTAAAGACCTGGTGTGTATGTGTATGAATTCAATTTTCTTGTTATACAACAAAGAAAAACGGAAGAAGTGGCTGCTGTTTCGGAGATCACCACATCTCCTCATCAGACTTGTTATGACAAGGATCGAACCAACGGATACTGATTTAGAAGGCGAGTGTTCTACCACTGCGCCAACATCAGTCATGTTGTTGTATAACAAAATTTTTCAATTCATACAAAAAAACAATGCCTTTGACTCACTTAAAACTTATAATAAATAATAATATGGCGGCAAAACAATTATGAAAATTAAATTAAAATAAATTAAATTAAATTAAAATAATTTTAATTAAATAGAGTGAAATAAAATAAAGTAAAATTAACTGTAATAAATTTAGTTAAATAAAGTAAAATTAACTTTAATTAAATAAAAATTGATTAAATTTAATTTAATTAAGATAAGGTAAAGAAAATGGTATAAAATTAAAATCAAATTCAATAATAATACACAAAAAACATATAGTCAAAATATTGATAAAATCAAATAAAATAAAAATAATAATATTAAATGAATAAATAAATAAAAATAATAATATAAAATTAAGTTAAATAAAACACAATTAAATTCAATTAAAAAAAGAAAGTAGAATTTAAAAATATTTTATTAAAAAAATATAAATAAATAATGTTATGAAAAAATTAAATGTAATTAAATTAAATTGAATTGAATTAAGTCAAAAAAATAAAAGAAAATATTTAGAATTAAAAATTAAAATAAAATAAAGTGAAACAAAAAAAATTTTACAAAATTATAAAAAATTACATATATTTAAAATTAAATTATTTTAAAGATTCTTTAATTGAACAAAAGGAATTCAATTTGGAATAAAATAAACAATACAATTATAAAAAATAAAACATTAAACAAAGTAAAATACCGTAGAAAAATAAATAATTTATAAAATTAATAAATCTAACTTAAAACAAATAAAGTAAAATCAAGTATAGAAGAGTAGAACAAACTGAAAAAATAATAAAACAAAATAAAATAAAAAAATAATGAAATGTAATAAAAAATATATGAAACAATATAATATGAAATGAAATAAAAAAAAAATAAAAAGCAAAAATTAAAATTAAATTTAAGAAAAAATAAAGTAAAGCAAAATTAAATAAAAAGTATAAAAAACAAAATGAAAACAAGATATGCATGAAATAAAAATAATTCGAATAAAATGACATTTGGCAATGGAATTGCATTTATTGTATTGATATTTACCATTGAAACGGCAGTAAATATATACTTATCTAATAAATAAAAATAAAAATTAATTCAGTGCTCCCATCAAACATTTATTAAGTTTTTCAATATTTTCATTAAAAAAAATCTCTTTATTCTGCACAATAAACTTAAAATTTAGCCCCATTAATATGTTAATAAATTGCTTAAATCAAACCATGAAAATATCCGATAGTAAATGGTAAATTCAACCACAAAGCACATCATATACATATGTATGTATGTATTAATTTCCCTAGAACTTTATCTTAGTTTCATAAATAAAAATTTTATTTGTTTTGAACATAAACTTTGCACTTACCTTTAAAATACACTTCCAATCCTTTTAATTCTTTGTTTGTATATTTATATGTATGTATGTATGTATCAACTGGTCAACTGCTTGCTTAACTCTTCATTACTTCGATTTCTCAACACTTGATTTGTTATCTTAAGTATATATGTATTTAAGGTTTTCCTTATCTTTTCCTTCACTACACTACACTTCACCCCTCTTCTTCGTGTGCTTTTTTCTTTAATTCTATCACTTTTATTTTTTTTATTTCTTTTTTTTTTCAGTTATGAACGTGGCGCTCAACCAAATGCTTAATAAAAATACATATTAATAAAAAATAAAACGGTGAAAACAACACTAAATAGCCAACAACAGCAATAATAATGTAATCAAAGCAAATGAATGTGTCATCCAGGTGCGGGAATACTCAAATCTTTGAAGTACATGCACGTAAGAAAAGCAATATTTATATGTACAAACATATGTATACATGTAAGGCTTTGTTTAAGGGGGAGCTGTTCGTAACCGAAAATGACTTAAGAGCGTATGTTTTTATAGTTTTGCATGATACGGATCAAACTATTAATTTTTCTGTCGCCTCAACTCAGCGGTATTTTTATATATTTTTTATGGTTTTGTTATTGTTGTTGTAATTAAAAAAAAAAATCTAAATTTATCAGCCCACTAATGATGAATGTACCAATTATATTGACAAAAAAATTGAACAATTGACACACAACACTTTAATATTTATTTAATCTCTTTTTATCACTGAATCAAAGAAAAACAAAAACATTAAATGAAAGCGAGAAATTATATTAAAAGAAAAAATTCGCATTTCTTGTCTTTACTTTAGTATTATTTTTTGTCTCTTTTGTTATTATTACTTACGTATTTTATTTTATTCTAAATTATTTTATTTCATTNTTTCATTTCATTTCATTTTATTTTATTTTATTTTGTTTTGTTTTATTTTATTTTGTTTTATTTTATTTTAGTTTATTTTATTTTATTTGTTTTGTTTCATTTAATTTATTTTATTTTATTTAATTTCTTCAATTTTATTTTATTCTATTTTACTGTCTTTTATTTATTTCATATTAACCTTTTTTATTTTATTTATTTTATTTTATATTATATTATTCTATTTATTTTTATTTCATTTGATCATTTCATCTTATCTTATTCTATTTATTTTCATTCAATTTTTTATTATTAATTTGTTTGTTATTTTATTATTGTGTTTTATTTTTTTTTAATTTACATTTATTTTTTCTTTTATCTCATCTTATCTTTTTTTATTTTATTACATTTTATGTTTATTTTATTTATTTCCATTTCTTTAAATTTTTGTTGTTGTTATTTTTTATTTATTTTAATTTTATTTATTAAATTCTATTTATTTAATTTTATTTATTAAGTTAAATTTTTTTATTTTATTTATCTCTTTATTTCATTTTATTTTATAACATTTTATATTATTTATATATTTTCTTTTCCTTTATGTTATTTTATTATATTTATTTTGAAATCTTTACAAACTCAATTCAGTATGTAACATTTTGCTCTACCTTTTTAATATTTTGTTTTTATTTTAATTTCTTTTGACCACTCTTCTTCTCACTAATTACACTTATCAGCAGCCGGTATTTTTAAAATCAAACTGAGTATTCAGCTTTTATAATTTAGTATTCGTGCGCGTCTTCAACCGGTTCTTTACATTGTTGTCTTGATATTCACTTCTATATATCCATACATACATATGTACGTATGTCACTAAGTTTCTTGTCAGCCACGCCAACAACCGCGCACATCGACGTTTTGTATTAAACTGAAAAGCGTCAAGCAGAGTCACTATCAATTCATGCCCCCAAAAAAGCAATTCCAGCTGTGGGGGATCCAGCGTCGCGTCGCTGTTTAGCTTCCGCATGCTCGTCATGGACGCTTGCTGGCCATCGCTTGCTATGTGCTTTAAATTTCTCCACTAAATGCGCGAGCTAATTGTATGATTGGCCGCCACTGGGTTAATGGTTTGATTGTTATTCGGTTGTGGTGAATTTTTCAAACTTTTAAGTTGGTGAATAAAACAACACATGTGAATTGTATTAACACACCAACCAAACACACACCTACAGAAGTACAATACATACGAGTATGCGAAACTGAACTGTAGCAGCATTTTGGGGGTGAAAGAGAAAAATTTAAAAGTAACTAATGAAAAAATGTAGTTTTATTTAAAATTAATTAATTATCTAATTTATCTAATTGGTTTTTGTTTCTTAGCAGATAATTTTCTTAATTATAAATGTCCCAGAATTTAATAACATAAAAATAATTATTGCTATAAACTATTGATAAAAATTTTCTTTATAATTAGCTTGAGAAGCTTTGGCAAGCTGAAAGTGGAACATTTGATTCTTTAGTGATATTTCCTTTATTTTACTTTTCCGTTTCACTTTAATTTGTTTTGTTTAATATAATTTTTTATTTCTTATTTTAGTTTAATTTTTCATTTAATTTTTTTTTTGCTTTAGGTGAGATTATGTTATTTTGATTTATTTTTCACTAGTTTCTATTTTGAATTTAATTTTTCTTTTTATTTATTCATTTTATTTTGGTTTTTATTGCATTTCTTATTTACTTTACTTCAATGTATTCCATTTTATTTTTTAATTTCAATTAATTTTCTTTAATTAGTTTTATTCTAGTGTATTTTATTTTATTTTATTTTATTTTACTTTATTATTATCTACATTATTTTATTTGATTTTATTATTTGCTTAGTAAATAAATTTATGTCACTTTTTGCCCAACGATTCGCTTCACTCTAATTTATATTATTTTATTTTTCGCCGCATCTTTTCGTAGAATTTTCGAGCAATATCCTTGTCGGCCAGCTTCTTAAGCTCATCGAACTCACACAGCACGGCCTCTTGTTTTTTTTTTGTTGTTGTCAGCATATGCGTTTAAATTTTCGATATCTATCGCAGCCGGGGCGAGTAGTGGTCGATCGCAAGCTTGTGAGGTATGGAGCCTTCTTTCTATCTACTGCGATACGACAATCTTTATCGGTTCAACTGTTTTTTCGACCTTTTCGAAACCTGGAATTTTCGTTTACAGCTGCGAGTAGGGTACTTAAAATGCCGTCCCACAATTACCTCATACTCAGTTGGTGATAAAAGCTCTTAGAAAGCAGGAGTACAAGTCGAACTATGATTGGAGTTTTTCGATTTCGAGCCCTAGGCGAGTGCGTATCTTCCCTGCGACAAGATAATGATTCACAGAACACACGCACATCTAGAACACTGGAGACAAAGCTTCCGTCAATCACAATATGATGGATTTTGTTGCACGATTGGATTTTCTTGTGTCGAAATCTGCTTTTACAGACTAACATATTATGGGCCTATCAAAGTATTTTAAGTCACTGTTTAATGTGCTCTATTGGCATTTGTTCAAAAATGCAGCCCTCAATTATCTTGCAGTCAATTAGGAACGCTATAGAGCCATGATGAATGACTTCTTCGTGCCTGCATTAGAGGATGTTGATGTGTATGACCGTTGGCTCAAGCAAGACGGTACTGCATGCCATACGGCCAACGAAACAATCAGTATGGCGTGTGTTATAACACCATGGATCTTTTAATTTTTGTGTGAAGATAATACCGCGACGATTAACGCCTTGGTAGAGAATATTCGACAGGTTATGGCTGACAAACGGCACCAATTGCTAAAAGAAGTGGTCGAAAATTGAACATTTCGATTGGAGTTTATTTAAGCCAGCCGCGGATTCATTTTTAAAACTAATGGCAAACCCTATTCTTTATTATGACACTAAATTCTTGACCATAACATTATACGTTGTGCGTTCACATAAAAAAAACTCCCTCAAACATAATTTCGTACAAAATTTTGCACAGTTTGCTGCCATCCAAATTTGCGTTTTGACTCTTTCTCCAAGATTTCTCTCGAAAAGCAAGTTTGGATCAAAGTTTAACGGTTAAAATAGTCTGGAAATTAGCCTTGGAAAGTCTTACAAAAAATCTCCTCAAACAAGAGCTTTATGCAATGAACAGTAGAATCTCTCAATAGAAGAAATAAAAGGTTTTTCCATAAATATACTAAATTTTTCTTTTTATTGAACACAACAGTTTTTTTTTGATGTGTGTAATTAAACTTATTTTTATTTCTATTTACTAAATTATTATTTTTTTTAATTATTTTATAAATAAATAAGTTCAACGAAAAACAATTTTCTAAAAGATGCTTTCAAAGCGCTCTTACTTTTGTATGTGCGGCTCATCTCCCTCAATTGGTGGACGATTCAGATTACCGGTTGTAATTGTTGGCGTCTTTCGCTTGCGATACTTTCCAATAGACTCACAAATAACTATAAAAAAAAAATAATTTAAAATTTTTTTAAAATTAAATGATGTCTACAAATAAGTTGTACCTCGCTTAATCAGCAGCAACACCTTCTTCTTCATAACCAACAATGCAAATACAATTATGCCTTGCAACGCATTGACAGCATTCAAAATCGCATTTAAATACTCATATCCTGTCCAATCGCCAGCCAAATAGTTGAAAGTCTCCAAAAGCCAAGTTATGCCCATTAAAATGAACAATCGAAAGAAGAGCCACGTGCTGCGATGATGAAATTATAGAAAATTTAATTTTTTTTTGGACTTTATCAAAGTTTAAGAGTTAAATATATACTAAAGGGTTTCCCAATAAGAGAAGTTATTTTGATATTCAAAGAAATATTTCGTTTCTTGAAATAAGTGGGCGGATGCTTAGCTCAGAGTACAGCGTAAGATATGACATTAATAATGGAAAACCATATCACCCAAATGGTCGCCACGGCTTTACTTGCAGGACCGTATCTTTTTTTATGAAATTTTCCAACACCAAATCGCAGAGTGGCTGCTGTATGCCCTCAAGAGCTTAAAAAATTCCATCTTTGAGGTCTCGAATCGACGTTGGACTGTTGGCGTAGACCTTGTGTTTCACGTGGTCACAAAGAAAGAAGTCCCAAAGTGTTAAATCACAAGATCTTCGTGAGGCATTGCGATTACCTCTTCGAGAAACAACACGGTCCGGAAACTTTTCCCCTGAAAGATCGATGGAATCTTTGCTTGTGTGGCACATAGCGTCGTCTTGTTGCAAGTAAACTTTGTACAGATCAATACCATCAAATTCTGGGTATAAAATATCATTAAACATCAATTGAAAGCGAAATCAATTCACCGTAAATATTGCTCCAGCTTCTTTTTCGAAAAAGTGAGGTCCAGTGACCGAGCCGGATCCTAAGCCCCAACAAACACTTACCTCTTAGGGACGGAGATGTTTTACAACAATAAATCTTGGGTTCTTCGAGCTCCAGATGCGACAGTTTTGCTTACTGACGTGGCCATCGAGGTGGAAATGGGTCTCATCAGTCAAGTTGATTTTTCGATGAAATTCTGGATTATTTTTTCAAAGACCCAATCAGCAAAATACGACGATTAAGAACGTCGGCTGCATTGAGTTCTTGTTTTAACTGAACTTTTTAGTCCTTAAGACGAAAATCTTTATGAAAAATACGTTGTGATGGTGTTTGTGGAAAGCCAAGTCCCAAGGAACGACGAGAAATGGATAGATCAGGGTTTTCTTCAACACTTTCGAGAGCAGCAGCATTATTCTCAGTTGTTCATGAGCGACGTGTTTTAACCTTCACATCACTAACTTGTACCAACAGCTCCATGTTTTCCACCAATTTCTGTATTGCAGTTCGACAAGGTGCCTTACGACGACTGCAAACTCAACCATCTCTGCCAGGTTTTCACCATTTTTATAGTTAATTTTAATAATGTTCGTGCGTAGCTGAAGCGCATATCGTTCCATTTTTATTACTGTCGTAGTTTTTACTTGTCAAATGTCAAAAAATTACAGCTTCAAAAGTGACATCTACCGGAAAAGCAGGCTTTTCAAAATATCATCTCTTATTGGAAAAACCCTTTATTAATTTTTCAAAAAGAAAATAAATTGAAAACTCACTTATTTTGATGCCCACGCATGCGCCGTAGCGTGTAATCATCCTGCGTCAGCTTCTGCACTTCGCGACGTATATTATAGATCCTTCTCACCGTTGAATAGAACATCGCGATGTTGGATAGAATGAGTATCAAGCAGGGGCCATAAAAATACAACATCGCGGACCATTCCTCAGCTGTGTACATTCAGTTTTTTTTTTTTAATTTCTTGTGTTATTTTTATTTTTCACCAATCAACTTACTGTTCAGCCAACAATGCGTGTCTCCGATACCCGATTGCAGTTCAGCCGGTAAATTGGAGTACTGTAAACCGACCGTGATTACCGTCATGACAGCAGGCAGTCCCCAAGCGTAGAGCGAGTAATAGCGAAAACGTTGTGCTTCTGACATGTGTCCAATGTTGCTTATGTTGCCGCGAAAAATTTGCCACAAATCGAAACAGATCACGTTCAGCCAGAAGAAGACGGCCAATAGGAAATAGTAAGCGAAAAATCCTACAAAATTTTAATAGAAATAGTAGAGTACACGATTGAAACCACTTGAAGAGAGGAAAGAATCGAGTTTATTAGAAAAATGTGAAGAAGTGAGATTAAGGAAGCAATTCGAGTCGCGAATATTTTGAACTTGAAACTCCAAAGTTTCGAGCTCCAGGAATAAATTCCTAAAATTAAGAATATATAAACTCTTCGATGAACCATCTCAAGAGGTGGAGAGCTGGAGAGAAACTGAGAGAAATTCTAGTAATAAATTTTATGGTCCATTCGATGATTTCGACTCCATACTTACCCATTGTAGCACAAACAGCAATTGGATACTCCGAAGTTGACATATTGATCACTACAATCAGCGTTGTGCCAATGGCTAATGAGAGCAGGTAGCAAATTAAGCATTTACTATGTAAATTCCACAATTTCGGAACGACCCAATAGATTAATATGGTTAAGTATAGAAAGGGCGCAGAGATCATCATACCTGAAACAGAGAGGAAAGCTCTCATTCGTTAACTCATTATCAATCACATTTTCATTTCATTGTAACATCTTTCATATTTTTGTGCATAATTTTTTATTTTCTTCTTTCTCTCTCTCTCCCTCTCTCTCTTTCTCTCTCTCTCGCTCCCCCTCTTTTATTTAAAATCTGAACCTTAATTAGTGATAAGCAAAGCAATACGAAGTAATTCCGATTGAGTTGAAAGAGAGAGAAGATGAAGAGTCTCTGAAACATGGGAGAGCTCTTTCCCGATTCTGACTAAGATTCTTGCTATTATCATGGTTTCACAGGAATACCAAATTCAGAATTAGCGCGCTGGAGCCAGCTTTTGCTGTCGAGATCAACTTGGTAATCATCAAAAAGGTTTGAATGTCCATCCTTTTCTTTCCAGATGATCTTTTCATATCCGATGTTGAAAACTTGATGAGTATCTGCTCAGTGCTGGACACACATATAAAACATCGATTAGTTCATTGACGGTGAGCTTTACAATATCCACTAGTACGAGAAATCTGATTCCTCGATAATTGGCGCAGTTTGTGGAGCACGTCCTACCATGAGTTGAGTTGATGCGGCTGCTGGTCGCCACTAGCACACTTACGAGGTGTGACATTTAAGTAAGGAAAGTGATTCCATAAAAACCGTATATTTCAAAGTTATTCTACAACTCTGCCATCCCCTTCAAAGTAGTCCCCCTGGGCAACTTTACAACGATTCCAGCGCTTTTTCCATGCTTCGTAACATTTCTGGAACAATTCGACTGCGATGTCCGCGAGTACCCTCGTCACGTCCGCCTGGATGTTCTCAATCGACTCAAAATGGGTTCCTTTGACCACTAATTTCGTTCTAAGGAACGAAAAAGTTACAGGGTGACATATCGGTCGAATAGGGCGGTTGTTGCAATATGGCGATTCCTTTAGAGCCCAAATACTGGGACACGCTGAAGCGTTGTGGCACGGCACGTTGTCGTGATGAAAGATCCAGTTACTCTTGATTTCGTTTTTCCATTTTCGTGACGAGCACCACGAACACACGTTTACTCAACACGGCACAGCAGGCGAACTAAACAAGCTAGAGCGATGGCAAGAAGAAGCAGAGAAGGAGGATGAAGGGAAAGTGAATTTCAAGGACGCAGGGTTACCACAATCGTGGCAATATAATCAGTCTCATTACTTAATTGTCACACCTCGTAGGCCAATAGGGCCATTGTGATACTGCTAAGGTTCCTACCATCACCTTCCCAAATGATCGAACTTTTTCGTGTGCTGAGGCCAATTCAGCGAGACAGTCGAAGAAGCGGTTCCCTTGACAATGGCAGAAGTACAGATCGATGGTATCTTCCTCTTCTTCGTCCCAACAGCTGAGTAATAGTCCAACCTTTTCCCTTGAAGTTCTATTAGACAGTGTCCAGTTTTTTACCCGCCGCTATGGTAACGGAAACCCGGACTAGAAGTATAATATGATTTGATTTTTTCGCATCCAACTTTGGCCGTAGTTATCTGGTCACGTTGCACGTGATCTGGTCCTGTTCACTGTGATATGATTTTGATCCGAGTTGTTCCTACCTCTCCGTACTTCAGCGCACCAAAGTGACAATCTTTTGCTATATCCTGGCTGTTGGTGATAATACCATTCTTCCGTCTGCGTGAGAGCGCAGATCAGCGATGGGTTGACGAACTTTACTTGAATGGGAAGCGTGGCGAGACGTTGGTTCATCGGGGTGTACGATAGTACTCGGCAATTTAGTTTTTCTCCAACCACAAATCTAACACCATATTTGTGCTCCGTTATACGGTCACTGATTTCACCAATACAGACCAATCTTCCGCCGTCTTTGAACCGCTCCTCGAACTTTCTGAATGATAATGTTGTCAGAGTTCAGGTGCGTGTGCTCAAAATCAAAGTCCCCATACGTTGAGGCTTTGTTAATTGTACCTTCAAAGCTGATTCCTCCATGGCGGCTCTCAAACTCAGTACACAAGCTTAGACTTCAGCGAATGCTTGAACCGATCGATGTAGGAATGGCGCTGCTGGAGCTTTCGTTCTACACACGAGTTGGTTACTGCAACTCGCACTTCCAGGGCGCACGTTACATCCACTTTCTTTCTTTCTATTTCACACATTCTACACATATCCTAACATACTTACAAGTCGTGCTGATCTTGATTGTTCCAAATGCGTCTACTTTATCACAGTACAATGGAAAGAGTTCAAATTTAGTTGCCAGCGGTGAATTAAATACAGTCAGACAGTAATCCCGCCGTGATCTGGGCAGATTATCTAGTTTACGTACAATCGTGCCATTCTGCGAAATGGAAAACTTTTAAGACAATTCGAAATCTTTTATGATATTCATATAAAATACCTCATACAATTCCCACTGATCCTCTTCGTACAAATGTGGTAATAGCATATAACCATCCCCGCATGGTATGCCCTGCTGCACCACAAATTTATCCAGCACATTCATGACCACTCGGCTGCTGTCGGGTAATGTTATATTAACGAGTGGTGAATACTCCTTCTTATCCACATCACATTCCACCGGTGCCTTTTTGGTCGGTCGAAACAGGGGAATTCCCGAAGAACAGCAGAACTTTACACATCGTTTTAGTTGACACACACAGCCACGTAGATGTTTCGGAACGTTGGTACGTACACCGTTAAACAATTCAACATAATCATAGTAGCCTCTCATATGGGCTGGCACCAGTACACCCTCATACACGTAAGAATCATTTGACTGTTTGTGAGTTTTCTTCAACTCCACGGTATCCTCGAAAGCACAATTCGGTATGTCGGCGGAAGTGAAGTGGCAGAACTTCAATAAATAAATCATGCAGGACAAAACCAAAGAGTTGACTCTCATGTTGGCAAACTTATCATGTCCTGTAGCTGTAATATAAATACATTTAAAAATAAAACATACATAATTATTTAAAAATAGAATAAAATCTTGAAACGAAATCATCTGCGGTCTCTATATATATTATATAATTGGCACTTTGTAGCCGCGGCCGCGTTCCTCCTCCAATTTGTGGTTTTGCGTCTTGATTTTTACCCAAAAAATGACCTATAGTTTATTTTAAGCCGCCTCCGAACGGCTGTTGGTTTTTCATGAAGAGTTTTTTTTTATTTCTGTCAGAAATACCCTCGGAGGGGAAGGAATTCTCTGCCGAGGGGCGACGGCAATTTAGTTGTTAGTACGACACCAGGCTTTGAACTCCAGCCTTCCGAATGGCAGTATATAATACTAACCAATTTCTGTTTTGAGACAGCGAAAATCGTTAAGAGGACGCTCACTTCGGAACAGGAAATCTTGTCAAGAAGAACATGAAACACAATGTAAAGCAGACTATCTTCATCTTTCAAACTTAAAGGTCAAACCAAACGTGAAAATGAATCGCAGAACGAGTTAAGTAAGATCCAATCACACCTTTGGACCAAAGAGCATACCAGAAAGTTTTTTTTTCAGTGTAGGAACCTCTCTTCAATTAATTGGAGATTCTCGGTGTCCCAAATGCAAAAACTTAGCTCATTTACGTATTCATCGAGGGAGAAATGCGCCTCGTCGCTGAAGAAAATTTTGTTTGAAAATTCGCCGTCCACTCAATATAGTTCGAGCAGCCAATCGGCGTATGTACGACCAGCTGTTGTAGAGCTGAACTTCGTATTGTTGTAGGTGTAAGTCCAAGTGCAAAATACGTCATAATGCGCCGTGAGAAAGTCCGAGTTCTTGAGAACGTCGAGAAATAGACATATTCACGTCTACACTTCTCCTTTTTCTTTGCAGGAGTAGACACAGACAACTTTACGTTATTCATCTGTTCTCTACGCAACTTGATGATAATTGGAAATATCGCGTACAGCCAGCTTCTTCTCTAGCTGCTCTTTCCAGCGGAGTAGAGGTTGTCCTCCACCTCTGTTCCCACCGGCGGATACTGCATCGAAAATTTTCAAAGTCCGACCGGACTGCAGGACCCAGCCAGAGCAGCCACTGGTTTGTTATTGGCTGCGCTAAATCATTGTCGCCGTATACTTACACCGGCAGCGGGTATTTGGTGTTCCCAACTCGCAGATGACCATAAATCTCATGCAAAACTTATCTCTCGAAGACTCCCATGGCCGTCTCATTAGATGACGATGTTATTCACGCTTTTGTACCATATGTCAGGACAAAAATGATGAGGGACTTGTAGAGTTACACTCCCCTCGTCGAAAGAGGACTTCACTTTTTTGTCTACATAGTCGGAATACTGTCAACATTGATATGGGAGTCGAGTCGCGAATACGATTACGGTTTATTTGATGAGAGGAAATATTTCATTTTGCCCTCATTCACTACTAAACCCATATGCTACGTTTACTTATCCTGTGTGGAGAAAACGGAACTCACGGCGCGGTTGTTGAGGTCAGCTGTGCACTTTTGAAGAAGATTGTACCTTTCTGCTTTCTGTGCCTTCGTCCAACCATATTCTGTAAAGTTCTGCCGATAAGCAGTCAGCTCCCGTCACTTTGTTGTTCTTTAAGCGGGCGACTGCTATTCGAACTTCTTCATGATTAGCTAATGGAACGTCTTTTCCATTGTCATCGATGGGGGCATCTGGTACGCCATCTCCAGATTCTCCATTTTCACTACTATTCAGCAGGTTAGAGAAGTGTGCCTTCCATGAATTCAGTATACTCTGGGTATCAGTCACTAGATCACCGCTCTGTGTGCTGCAAGTGTCTGTTCGGGTCTTGCAATCTTCTGCATATCATTGTATCTTGTTGCAGTTGGAATCATTATAATTAAACTTAATGAGTGAGCGAAAGGTCAAGTAAGCTCAGAGCAAAAATATACGAAAAATTATTCTGAATTTATTCCACAGAAGAGAAGCAAAACCTTGCTGATTTGGACAATTTGGGGATCTTGCAACTTAAGTTTAGTCATTAAACATGATGACAAATAAATTTACTAAGAATTCGCCATATCTTTGACGGAAGTATTCGAAAAGTATTTATCCTGAAACCACAAACAGTTTTTTTCACATAATGCGGTTTATTTAATTAATCATTTGGGATTAAATTTCATTTAAAAAAAAATTTCAACATAAAAAACTATAAACGATATATAATATACGATATTTTGGAATAAACGTACGATTTTTATATGGAGAGTTTTCTAATAAGAGATGATATTTTCAATTGCCTGCTACTCCGGTAGATGTCGCTTTTGAAGCTGTAGTTTTTTGACATTTCTCAAGTAAAAACTACGCCAGCAACAAAAATGGATAGATATGTGCTTCAACTACGCATTGACATTTTTAAATTTAGCTATAAAAATGGTGAAAACCTGGCAGAGATGGTTCAGTTTTCAATCGTCGTGAAGCACCTTCTCGGACCGCAATACAGAAATCGGTGAAAAAATGGAGCTGTTGAGACAAGTTAGAGATGTGAAGAATAAAAAAAAGATTTTCGTCTTAAGGCCTAAAAAGTTCAGTTAACACAATAACTCAAGCCGGTTGATTATCTACAACGTCATGTCTTTGCTGATTGGATCATTGAAATGCATGAAAAACTGATCCAGAATTTCATCGAAAAATCTGCTTGACTGCTGAGACCCATTTCCGACTCATTGGCTACGTCAATAAGCAAAACTGTCGCACCTGCGGCTCGGAGAACCCAAGATTTATGGTTGTAAAACCGCTCCATCCCTAAGATGTAAGTGTTTGTTGGAGCTTAGGGTCCGACAGTGTCACTGGACCCCACTTTTTCGAAAAAGAAGCTGGAGCAATATTTACGATGAATTGATTTCGCTTTCAATAGATGTTTAATGATGTTTTAAGACTTTAATTTGATGGTATTGATCTGTACAACGTTTACCTTCGACAAGACGACACTACGCGCCACACAAGCAGTGATACCATCGAACTTTTAGGGGAAAAGTTTCCGGACCGTGTTGTCTCTCGAAGAGGTAATCGCAATGCCTCACGAAGATCTTGTGATTTAATACCTGGTGACTTCTTCCTTTGTGACCACGTGAAACACAAGGCCTGCGCCAACAGGCCAACGTCGATTCGAGACCTCAAAGATGGCATTTGTTAAGAAGTTGAGAGCATACAGCAGCCACTATGCGATTTGGTGTTGGAAAATTCCATATTGCTTTCCATTGCCATTATTAATGGTATATCATCCACTTTACATTGAAAAAAACATCCGTTCGTATATCTCAAAAAATCCTATTTTTAAATATCAAAATAAAACCTCTTAATGGGAAACTCTACCAGGAAACTATTCACTTTTTCACAGATCGCAGATCGCTTCTTGACAAGATAAGAAATTCTAATTTCTCTATTATTATTAATTTAACATAATTCAGTAACTACAACAATATTGCTTAACACTTTTGGGCTCACCAAGAAGGAGGTTGGGATTTTCTCGATTTATCGACCTCAATTCGAGTGCCGGCGATGTTAACTCGGACGAACAGAAATATAAACTGTCAAATGTTTCGAATCAGTAATGCGATCATATACTGCATAAAACACAGAAATGTTGTAGATACATACATACATATATTTTGGAACAAAAATGCTGCACCATTTTAGGTATTTTACAAAATCATATTTTCTTCTGGAGAATTAAAATACATACATACAATTAATCATACAATATTCGTTTATCGTTTCTTCAGTTTACTTCAAATATACATACATACATATATACATACATACATGTATACATAGTGGCGATTTGTAACCGCTGTAGCGATTTTCGGCCGATCTCCTCCACCAATTTGTGGTTTTTCGTCTTGATATTTTTTCCAACAAATGGATTGATCTACAGTTTGTATTAAGCCGCCTCCGAACGGCTGTTGGTTTTTCATGAGGAGCTCTTTTTATTTTAGTCCGAAATACACTCGGAGTAGTTGACATTCCCTGCCGAGGGGCGACGGCAATTAGAAAATTTTACTTTTTTTTATTTAAATTAATTTTCTATGACTTTTTGGATGGTAATCCGACGCCCGGATTTGAACCGAATGGCAGTACGCAATGCCAAAGCAAAAGGGAAAAGAAAAGGGATCTGGCGGCTCTCCTCACCTACAATTATGTAGATCTACGACTTCAAAGTTATGACTATCAACAGCGAGGTGTGAGCCCCGTTGACTGTTTAGTCGATAACAAAAGAGATTTCTTGTCGACGTCCATTGCCATTCATTCTCTTCGCGATTGAAAGTAACCTTTTCTAAAGCCCCATTTGGTACCATACGATGAAGTCCTTTCCAACTTACTGCCCTTTTGGTATTGTCCAGCGTTAGTTTCCACAATCGTATAAGTTGTCGGACAATGAAGCAGCTGCTCTAAAGTCATAGATTGGGAAATGACGTTGTTGTAGCGGATCGTTAACTCCGCTTAGGGACAGGTTAATCAATCTAAGTTACCGAGTTCACTGACGGGAGTTCAGGAAGCGACATCAGGAGGTGCTCTGTCGCAGTCCTGTGTTCTGTGAGCAGTGTTCTGGCAAGGTTGTAACCTTTTCATTTGCATCTCGTTCTCGTAACGACCGGCCGGTTTCTTTATCTTTACGCCAGCTGCTGCCGGCTAGTGTTTTGAGTACGAGTTTGAGTCTCTGGAGTTATGCGGCATTTGCGGTCGTATGAGGTGTGAAGAAGTGCAGACTTCCAAGTGTGACTCTCACTATCTTTGCGTTATTTACGGTCGGAGTTTCCATGTCGTCGACCTTCGCATCTAGCTCGAGCCTGTATTCCCTCGTTCAGCTGATGTAGAGGGTAGCCAGGTATTTGGTCGGTTGTATTTTAAGCTGTATTGCAGTGAAAAAGTGGAACAGGTCGGCAAGATAGCCGTTCAGTATCGACCAAATGTCATCAGTATCCTGGCTAGACAGCAATATCAAACAATCATCGGCATAGGAGGTCAAGGAAACTCTTTTTGATGGAGGTGGGAGTTTCAAAATATAGAAATTAAAAAATAGTGGGGAGAGAACACCATCCTGCGAAACATCTTGTTTATTTTTGTTTCAATGTTTCATTTCGAAATTCTATCCAATCATCGGTGGTGTTGCACTTTAACTGCCATTCAACTGGCTGGAGTAGTGTTCCCACCATAAATTTAGAACACTCTGGGTCTAAGGCACTAGTTCACCTCTCTGTGCACTACAAGAGTTTGCTTCGGTCTTGAAACCTTCTTTAAGTCGCAGTATTTTCGTAGAATTTTCGAGCAGTATCCTTGGCGGCCAACCTCTCAAGCGCTTCTTGCTCACGCATCCTTCCCAGATTTATATCATCGTTTTTCAAACTTCCCAGGAATCTCCGTTAAATCTGTAAAGTATATAATTATAGGTATACATACATATGTACATATAGTTGCTATAAACTAACTGTGACAACTAAAATAAGTCTGAAAAAAGCCTTAGAACTCTGCCTACGTACATGCCCGACAAGGGAATATCAAGGAATCCGAGTGTTTTTCCGGCATGAAACAAAAACCGAAGTGCGCTAAGTTCAGCATTCAGCGTTGTCTTGACAGCTGACGGATTTTCATAAACATTGTTTGGCATGGAACAGACCCGTGAAAATAGGATCGACTCACACCACCTCTTTGTCGATTTTAAAGCAGCCTTTGACAGCACGCAAAGAAGCTGCCTACACGCCGCTATGTCTGAACTTATACGGCTGTGTAAGCTGACGCTAGACAACACCAAAAGCGGAGTCACAATTGGGAAGGACTTCTCCGAGCCGTTCTAAATCAAGCGAGGTTTCAGACAGGGTGACTTTTTGTCGTGTGATTTCTTCAATTTGATGCTGGAGAGAATAATAAGAGCTGCAAGCTGAATATAGAAGGTAAAATCTTCTATAAGAGTGTACAACTACTGGCTTACGACGATGATATTGACATTATCGGCCTCAACAACCGCGCCGCCGTTAGTTCTGCTTTCACCAGACTGGATAAAGATGCGAAGGATATGTGTCTGGTCCTGAACGAAGACAAAACGAAAAGTCTCCAGTCGTCAAACAAACAGTCATCGCATTCACACTTGGCTCCCACGTCACTGTTGACAGTCAAAACATCGAGATCCTAGATAATTTCCTCTATCTAGAGACCAGCATCAGCTTAATGCTTAGATAACTAGGCGCCTCGCATTTTATAGGGCTAGATGAAAATAAAAATTAGATGTTTAATACATCATAAAAAGGGTTGACGTCCCCTATGACGACTACTTCAGCTCGCACTATTGGACTACGTGTTGGATGCATTGGATATAATAATTCCCAGCCAACTGCTCTCTCAGTTTTTGGCGAGTGAACAAAGATGTGTGCGATCCAACATTGTCCTGGTGGAAAATGACTACCTTACATTTGGCCAATTTAGGCCGCTTCTCGATTGAGGATTGTATTCAATTTGTTCAGTTTGGCTCCTTGGAAGCAGCTCAAAACATACCATACCCTTCCAAGCCCACCAAACTGACAGCATAATTCTCTTTTGGGAAATATCAGTCTTTGAAATGATTTGTGGCGCTTCAACATGCTCGGACCATGATCCTTTTCGATTGATCCATCCAATCCATTTTTCAGCTCTAGTTATGATTTGCTTCGATAACGGATCGTTTAAGATGCATATCGCGAGCGTTGAGGTGAATTGTTCAATAAATTTCTTTCAATTCATGTGGTGCCCAAATATCAAAATACCAGTCCAAGTTGTCGTGTATGATTATGAACGGTGGATGTTGCTGTTGAGTATTTTCTTCCAATCTCACGCTCAGTTACATGACGATCCGATTCGATTAAAGCCTTGATATCGTCATCATCAACTTAACTAGATTGATCTGTCGACTTCTCAGAGCTTTTCACGAAAATATCAATACGAATGCCTTGAAAGAAGCCGAACACATCATTCACATTCAAGTTGAGCGTATGAGCTCGTAGCCGCATACTTATAATATAAAACAAATGATCCACTTCCCGAAAAATTATTATAAGGGTCAGCCCTGGTTCCCTTATGTGAGAGAAGAATAAGCTTCTCGTTAATCTAAGCAAAAAAGCCGTCCATGGAGCGAATTTCAAGTAAATCGGACCATAAATAATCCAGGTCCACGTCGCGTTTTTTCCTATAAATCCTCCCAGGCACCATAGAAACAATCTGAGTTACAGTTCAGGAATACACCAATTTATTTATTTAATAGAAGCATAAGTATGTAACTAAAATATTCTACACATACACTAGCCGTCATAAGTCTAACCTCCTTAAGTACTTCTTTTAAAAATATCAAAAAATAGACTAAAAATTTTTTTCAAATTTCCTTTTTTATTTTAAATTAATTAAGTACTTTAGTGCAGCATTTTTTCGTATCATTTTTCTATGTACTATTTACAGTTACAAAAACGAATTATGTTTTGGCCTAAAGATCTGAGTTATAGGCGCCAAAATTTTACGCTCATAAATGAAAATTTATTCAAAAATCGGTATAATATATAAAATAAATGTAAAAAAAATACTTCTGGAACGAGTTGGGATTCCTCGACATTTAAGAATTTCCCTCAGTCTGTTTTGCATGGAATTAACAAGTCTTGCAGTCTCTCCAGACGTAATTTTTCCCCATTCTTCTTTGAAGACTTCTTTCAACATTGACTTACTTGCCGTGTCATATTTTCTTATATTTCTTATACAACACCCACCGATGCTCTACTGGAATCAACTCAGGTAATGGCGGTGATGTTAGGAACTGTTTTGGGATGATACAAAGTTCTCAGAGATGGACAATTTCGGCGGCATGTTCGGGGTCATTGCCTTGTTGGAAGTCATACTCATTATGTAATCCCAATTTTTCAACGCTCTGTCGTGAATTACACTCTAAAATGCTTAAATATGCGAACAAGCTCATAGTTGCTTTAATTAATTCGATCTTTCCAGCATACATCCCCACATCATTACTCCTCCTGCATCATGCTTGACGGAGGAGAAGAGACTGAATTTGTTGAGCGCTGTACCTGTTTATCTCCAACCATTTTTCAACCAACAGCATGACAGATTGTGGCTAATAACAAATAAGCAAAATTAGCATTATTTTTTAATGGTTTTTAAGTTTTCAACAAACAAAAATTTCATTTTGATGGCAGCGTACACTTATGACGGCTATTGTATATGTATTTGGTTTATATATATACATACATACATACATATATTGAAGAGTTTTCCTTATATGGCTTCGGATGTTTTCTTTATTTTAATATATACTTATGTGCATATGCATATATATAAATGATATACCAAAATGATATTGAGTGAGTATTATACGCACGAGAGAGCGTTCTTTTGTTCACGGAATGGGTGATAAGGGTTGGACTTCATCATCGGAGATAATTTTTTTTACCCCTCATCACTTTCTCCATCATTTGAGGGGTGTGATTCAATGCAGCGCAGCCAACGCAACGTGGCTGTTGTTTTTGCAGAGGCGTAAGCATTCTCGGCACCTATCTTGCGCTAACCTCGTTCAGGATTTCAAAAATGATGTATCGGATACTCTTAAAATTTCTGCAGGCATCGTCGATGACAATTTTTTCAACTTCTTGATTAATTTCTGGCTTATGGTCACCTCGATGCAACTGCGCTGCCTCGGGTCGTCCTTAGGATATTCCCTTCCTTGTTTAAATAAACTCGTCGTAAAGCAATGACATCTCTCTCATTATGGCCGCAACTAATTTTTCTTGCTTGTGTAAGAAACTTTAGAACGACACGATATATGATTTTCTCCATATTTCACTACCAAATATTTAGCTTGGTTGACAATAACTCAAAGGGTAATGATCTAAAAACAATCAAACCTCGTATTTATACCAATTATGAGTCACTAAATACGTCACTAATCCTAATGCTCCCTCTGAATCCGCGTACATAAAAACGCTCTCTCAAAATAATTGTACTTTTTTTTTAATTCTTATGGATTGTATATTTTGAATCATTATTTGGCTACATACTAATATGGCACATATTGGGTACAGTCTTTAAATTCGATGTTTTTTCTTAAAATACTATTTGGTTTATAGAATACTAAGCGACAAAACCGCTTAAATATGATTTTAAGTTTGTGTTGAAAAGTACAGCAATTATATTTGTCTAATAAAAAGTAATCTACTATTTTTGCAATAGATGGCTTTAGTCATCTGAATCTCGCAATCATGATTGATGGTCCGCAGGATTTTGTTGTGCTTCCGATGGGATTTGCAAGGAATCCTTCAGTATAAATTGCTTCCTTACGGTTAAATTTGGAACTGCACTATCAGCAGTGCCTAGCTTTGAAAAAACGGAAGTGAAATTATATTTCATCAGGACAACGCCGGACCATATACTTTGATAGTGACTTGCCAGAAGGCTCAAGACTATACCTGGGGAATTCTTATGCATCAACCACATAGTCCAGGTGATGAACATCTACTTCTTTCGATCGCGATTGATTAGACTGATGAAAATTTGGTCCCAATTGAAGCATATAGAAATCGATTGCATCAATTTGTTTACCAATAGGGACAAGAGTTTCTATGAGAGCGGCATAATGGCAATACCTTCCAAATGGCAAAAGATTATCGTTCAAAACGTTTCATATTTGACATAAATCGGAATAATAATAATTATGGTATACAAAAATAATGGACTATTTTTTACTAGACCTAATGTTGAAACTACGAGTTGGCTGATGATAATAACGTAATTATGTCAATGCTCAATTGCTATAAATATGTATGTATATATTACGAATGTATTTATCCTGAAGATCCTTAGTTCCGAGGTTTCCAGCGAAATTCAGCATTGGCTATATGTTGAAATAGAATAAATAAAAATTTAATTATTTAACAATTATTTCTATGTTAATTTGTGTATAAGGGAAATAATAAAAAAAAAATGCGAACCCCTAACAATGGCACCTTAAACCCGAGTTTAATCAGATTTTAAAAAAGAAATCGAAAGCTTTGCATAAATTTTATTATATATTCTTACAGAAGAATGGGGACATGAGTAGAAGTTCACCCAAGTAAGGAAAGCCTTTTATTGCCATCCACCTGGGAGCTCAATCAGCTCACGACTTCCGTTCTTAGACCAAGTGTTTTCATACCTTTGGAAGCGAGCTGAAGTGAGAAGGCGAATGCCATGCGGTTGCCCGTAGGATTTGGGGTTCACCGAATGAAATATATAATCCAAGGAAAATTTTCAAAAACCCTCGGATGTGAGCGCCCCTTCTCGATTATGGCCACCGCAATTGTAAAAGCCATCTCGATTTGAAGAAAGGTCCCACAAGGACGGCAGAAAGTGGGTTCTTGTGAAATCTATTATAGCGGTAATATAAAAAAGCGCGAATTAGGTGTTGCATTCGTGGTGGGGGATAGATTCCGCGTTGAAGTCCTGTCGTTCACTCCCACGGATGAACTTCTCGCAATCGATCTACTTTACTGGGGTTTGAAATATGGTTTTATTTATAACTCAATATTCTCAGAAGAACATTCATTAAGGTACGTTGCTGTCACTGGATCGAAGATAACGCAATCAAATCGGTACAAGCACGAATTGAATATGGAATCAATCGAGAAATGGCTACACCACTTTACCAAATAATAGACTTTTCACCCCCCGATTGATTCAAGATCGAGATCAACCTCTCATATAAGACAACTTCTATTATAGACCAATCTGTGGACTTAATTAGCTTAGTATCTAATGCTCGGTACCACTTGAACTTCGTCAAAAAATTGACGAATAGGCAAAACACTTGTAGTCTTCGTGCATACCACGAAGAAGTTACCCTACAGGGAAGAATACTAGTGGTTAACCAAAACTCAGCCGTACCGTACTATTGTAGATACAACAACAACACACTATGGTGGAAAGTATTATTATTACCACCGTTACTGGCAAACTGGAATACAAATAACCGACTGGTATGATTTCATCCTCAAAATACCAGTATTTAACAAGGAATTTTTGCCCACCAGTCTACCTTCTCCCTGCAGGATTAACATAGCGCTTAGATATGTTCAAAGGGTGTGGGAATAGAAAGTGCAGCAGAAAGGAGTTAACTTGGATTAGAGTGAAGAGATCTAATTTCTTTATAAGAAAACAATTAAGTATTTTTATTTCACTTACATAATTCCACTGCCGATGTACTGGACTTGGCATATCGTCTACTAGAAAACTGCTGTTTCTTGTCCGCTTTGCACAGTCTAAGAAAAATAAATAAATATTTGAGCTATTTTCTTAATAAAATATTTGAGAGGGAAGTTGGGTAATTCAAAAATTAGGACTAAATCCCACTCCAGCCGATGATGTTTTCCCTTACTTACCTCTTCTTTATCAGCAACAACACCTTTTTCTTCATAACCAACAAAATGAAAATGATTATACCCTGCGAGGCATTGTAAACGTCTGTGGCGGCAAAGAAAAATGCCAATTTATTGTAATTACCAAACATATAGCTGATGATCTCCAGCAGCCAACCGACACCCATGACAATGAACATGCGAAAGAAGAGCCAGACACTGAAATATTGCGCCAATTTAATGCTACTATTTGCGTGGTATTGGATATTTACAAATACACTAAACTCACTTATTTTGGTGCGAGTGCAAATGACGACGGCTGTCCTCGCCGCGTGAGAAATGCTGCAGCTCCTTGCGAATGCTATAAATCTTCTTGGCGGTCAGTACAAATATGGAAATATTAAATATGATAAGCAGTAAGCAGGGTCCATAAAAATAAAGCAAAGCAGACCAGTCATCAACTGGAAAGTAAACAAAAAAAATTAGATATTCAAACAAATGAGTGCTCCAGCCACAACTTACCCTTCAACCAGCAATGTGTGTCTCCAATGCCCGACTTGAGTGCGTGCGGTAGTTTTGAGTTTTGTAGAGATGCGGTCACAATGGTCATAATGGTTGGCAAACCCCAGGCGTAGAGAGAATAGTAGAGGAATCGTTTACGATGTAACGACAACTGTTGGCCGGCACCATTGAGGTGACGTAAATTTCTCCAAAGATTGAAACAGATCACATTAAGCCAGAAGAAGGCAGCGGTTAAAAAGAAATATGCGACGAAGCCTGTTCAAATCGATGTTTATTTGATATGGAATAAAACTAATTTGAAATTCACTGGTAGTTCGCAAGACTTAGAGGGTTGAACTATGGATATATTTCGTCTCAAACAGCAGAAAACGAGTACACACAGAGCTAAGAGTACACAGAGCTATCCTAGAGATTATTACTCATACAAGACCAGAGTCGAAATATTATTTACTGAAAGGTGGCAGTTTTAGGAATAAAGTTTTCTATTTTTGTCTGGCCAGAGTTCGTACCCATGTCCCTGTTGTACATTCGGCCACTGTCAAAAAATTGAACTCACCTATGATAGAACAATTAAGATCCTCAAAATCGCAATCTTGCATGTTGACAACTACAATCATAGAGGATCCAACAGCCAAGGAGAGCAGATAGCTGATTAAGCATTTAGTATGTAAGTTCCACAATTCCGGTATGAGCCAATAGATCAGTATGGTCGCAAATAGAAATGGTGCTGAAATCATCATAACTGAAATTAAGAAAAAATATATTTTTTAAAAATTCTTCCAATAAAAAAAAGTTTTTTTTTTTGGTCTCCTTCGCACATTTCTCCCCGCTTCCTAATCTCTCACATAATTACTCACACCTTCGCTCTCTACTTCTGTCACTTAGTTCTCGTATTGATCATCATGGTTGCTGACTCGCTATACATACTCGGACAGTTCATGGGGTTCAAGACAAACTCTCCGCTAAAATTATACGCTTGGAAGCAATAATCACGTCTAGAAAGGTAATCCCTGTCACGCAGTAAAGTGCCATTCTGTGAAGCGGAAATGTTTGGAAATTCTTGACCAAAAAACAAAAAACACATAATTCTTACCTCGAACAACTCCCACTTATCCTCTTCGTACACATGCGGCATCAACGGATATACATCCGCGCATGGTGTTCCCTGTTGCACCACAAATTCCTCCAGTAAATGCATTGAAACCCGCGAATTGTTACGCAATGTAACATTAACAAATGGCGTATATTTGGGTTCGTCACTGAGTTGCTCATTGTCGCATTGTGGTGAAGCGTGTTCGCTGCTCTGAAACATATCCGCTCTAGGATGGCAGCAGAACCTTACACACTGCTTCAGCTTACAAACACAGCCCCGTGTGTGTTTCTCCACCTTCTGGCGTACGCCCTCGAAGAGTTCGATGTAGTCATATTCACCGATGTATTGCGGTGGCACCAATAAACCTTCGTAGCTGTAAGTACCGTTGGTAAATTTTACGCACGCAGTTAAGTTGACGGTGTCCTCGAAGGCGCAGTTGGGTATATTTGCTTTAGAGTCGGAAAATAGAGACAATGAGGTTCCGAAGAGCAACAGGAGAACACGTGTTGCCATCATTGGTAGCTGAAAGAATAAAAAAAGAATGTATGTTAAGGAAAACTTTCAAAGAACCTCGATCCTCTTCTCCTTTACTGCGTATACCGCCTTCAGGCTTAATGACACCAACTCAAGAGCTGGTTTTACAAGGTCTCTGTTTTGTTCTTCATCATACGTCTTTGAATTATCATAATTATTATTCTTTTTTCTTTTTCCTTTGCTGTCAAGTTTCCAATTTCTTTATCACTTCCAAGCTGGCGAATAAACTCATAGTATGGAAAGGAATGTCCGCAAGCTGTAAAGGTTTACACTCGAAGAAGTAGTAGGGTTCGATCTAGATTTGTAGCCCAATCTACTCTTAATTTAGCTTTGAGTTCCAGGCTAATCCTATCCGAACTTGGGCGAAATTTTTGTCACATTCGAAAAGAAAGAATCCGATAGATTCTTAAGTGATCGTAATAATCCCTCTTACATCGAAACCTCACAAAAATATCATCTAATGGCAGACCGAGCAAATACGAACTATGTAACCTGACACTGTACAACAACAGAAACCAGTCCAAAAAAAAACCGACTACAATATCAACCTTGAAATCCCACACAAAATAATTCTTTCCAGCAGGTGCTATTTCGAACTGTTAAGGCAATTGAAAAGTAAAATCCTCTCTCGACGAACGCAGAAGCGTGAACGATGTCAATACCCGATGAGGGGGCACTAGGAGTCTTCGAGTGTAAAGTTTTGCCAACAAATACAGGAAGCGATGATATGATGAGCTGTACGAGTTTTAGGATGACATTGATTGAATATAACCATGTCAGCTTTAGAAGTATTGGATGCGGGTCTCGTTGGAAGCAGACGGTGAAGAAGGTCTCCACTCCATTTCAAAGATCAGACGTAGAACGATCTGGTTTCTCTTGGTATTTCCAACTGGTGCAGAGAAGAATCGAATGTCGCGCTATTTTTTATTCGGCTCTGTTAACGCGTAAGCGGAACTCACGTCAATGAAGAAGAAGAGGAAGGAGGGAAACAAAAGTTCGTTAAACTCAGAGCGCATGATGTGTGCAAATTGTGAATTGAACATAAACCGAACTCCCCATGAATCACGAACAAATCCACCCTCTCTATCACACAATTCCTTATCTAACCTCAAAGATTTCGCTTTTATCGGCATTTTTGTTGTTTGCAATTTGGGTTTTTTTTTATATTTGTTTTATTTAAACTTCTTAACGTTTATTTATATCAGTTTTTTTATTTCACTTTTTTACTTATTTATTTTTTTACTACATTTCAACACAATTACAATTTACTTAACTTTATTATATTCCATATTATTTTAATTTATTTTATTTCAATTTACTTTATTTTTTATCGCATTTTGTTTTATTTCAGGTATTTTATTTTTAACTTATTTTTTTTACTTTCATTTTATTTTATTTTGTTTTGTTATATTTTATTTTTTTATTATTGTATTTTATTTTTAATTTCTTTTCTTATTTTATTTTATTTAATTCCATTTTATGTTATTCTGTTTTATTTTATGTTACGATTTATATTTCCATTTTTTTATTTTATTGTTAGGAATTTCATTTTATTTTAATTTATTTGTTTTACTCTCGTTGTTGTTTTATTTTATTTTAATATATATTAATTAATTCATTTTATTTTATTATACTTTATTGTGTTTTATTTTTAAATCCTTTTTCATTTCATTTTATTTAATTCCATTTTATGTTATTCTACTCTATTTTATGTTATTTAATTTTGATTTATTTCATTTTATGTTAATTTTTTATCTTATTGTATTTTATTCTATTTTTTTCAATTTATTTAATTTAATTATTTTGTTTTATTTATTTTATTTCATTTTATTTTATATTATTTGTTTTACTACGTTTTATTTAATTTAAATAAATTTATTTTATTTTATGTTATTTTATTTTGTTTCATCCTCGTTTACTTTATTATTAAGATTTATACTGTACTTAATTTTGATTTATTTCATTTTATTTTTTTTTTTCATTTTAAGTTATTTTATTTCAAAGTAATTTTCTTTCAATTTATTTTTATTTTATTTTATTTTGTTTTATTATATTTTTATAAGTACTTCCTTTTTTTATTTAATTTATTTTATTTATTTCATTTTATTTTATATTGCTTTTCTTTTTGTTTTATTTTATTCATTTCGTCATATTTTAAATAAATTTAATTTAATTTTTTTAATATCAGTTTATGTGATTTTATTTCTTTTTAATTTACATTTCGTTATTTTATTTTATATTAAATTGCATTATTTTATATTTTTCTAATTTGTTTTTCTTTCGCTTATTTTATTTTATTTTTTTTAAAGGTAATTTTTTTTATTTATTAGGAAACCATTATTTCTGATCTGTTTTCGCAATTTTAGTGCCACTTTAATTTTTATTGATTTTTATATTTACAAAAATTTCACTGACCACCATGAGATTTCGATACTCACATCCGTATTTGAAATAATAAAACAAAATTTCTTCACAAGTTCATATTCTCACTACATCCATGGATTTGGTTTTTTTTCTTTTAAATACTTCTAGAACTCAAACATTTAGACCGAAATTTTTCATTGGATTTAATTAATAAAAAATAAAAATTACTTAAGCCCAATTGCTCTCTTTGCGCGACGATGTACTGCCTCGAGCGTTCAGTGAAACGCAACTGACCGAAAATTTCTTTAAAATGAAGAAACTAAGTCCACACCAAAATTTATAAAAATGTGGTCACTTGTATGTGAATACTGAAATATGCGTGAAAAATTCTTGCATCAGCATTCAGTATTTTTTTTTTTACAATTATAAAATAATTTATGAACATTCATACTTACAGATTTATAAACTTTTAATTGTTGTTTCAAGTGTATCGATCTGTTGTAAAAAAGTAGAGCTATTCATGGTTCGGATTGATTCAATTGTGAGATTATATGCCTAAAATGGAATACTCTTGTTTCTGAGAAAGGAACCAGAGACCTCCATTTGCTCGAAATATAAGTAATACTTTCATTAAGAGAAAGCGATCATCGACAGTTTTATAAAAAATTTGTATGATTCCATATTAGCATAGATCGTGGTTGCGAATTCAACTTCAGTGTGAATAGATATAGATCCGAAAGGTGCATTCGGCTTGCTTTGAGGCCCTCATATTGACATTTTCGTACCATTGAAGTGACCCATGCGTAAAAAGAGTAATGTAAAAATAAATATATATTTTGATTTAGATGTTGGTTATCAATGAGGTTTTAATATTACAAAGATTAACAACAATAAAAATTGTATAAAACAAAGAAAGCCACAACAATGTGTGGTCGGGCCTGCTAATAATTGATATTAAAATAAAAAGGTTTAAGTGTTTAAAATGGAATTAAAAGCTGAAAACCCGCTGCTACATATACTCGATGAATGTATGAAAAATGAAACATTGTATATCTTCTCATCTTAACTGCATTTACTCAATACCTGTGGGTATACAACATTTTTTGATGTTACCAGCGGCCACGCAACGAAAAAGGTTAACTGTTCTGTCAAAACTGGGACACGCAACATAAAAATTTTCACATGCGCAAGCAATCCGTATCTAAATGAAGGCCACATGATTCCAAAGTTTGATCCTAAGCTTTGTTGATAGTGGCGAAACTGGGAAGTGTAGTCGCTTGCATTGAGAAGCAATATCGAATGGAATAGTAGGGATTTGAGGTCGTTTCCACCTTCGAAAGCTCCAATCAGAATTGTTGCTTCTTTACGTTTCTCTGAAATTTAATAATATTATATCGTCTTCCACGCTTTCGCGCTCCTCCTTCAACTCTTTATGGCATCGAAACACTTGGGCACGACTAAGCCATTTACAATTTAAGCGTACGTTTCCGAAACTGTTTCGCCCAATTAACAATAAGGCGTAGGCATTCTCGGCATCTATCTTGAGCTAACCTCGTTCAGTATTTCAAAAATGAGGTATCAGATACTCTTAAAATTTCTGCAAGCATCGTCGATGACGATTTTTTCAACTTCTTGAATAATTTCTGGCTTATGGTCACCTCGATGCAACTGCGCTGCCTCGGGTCGTCCTTAGGATATTCCCTTCCTTGTTTAAATAAACTCGTCGTAAAGCAATGACATCTCTCTCATTATGGCCGCTCTTGCTTGTGTAAGAAACTTTAGAACGACACGATATATGATTTTCTCCATATTTCACTACCAAATATTTAGCTTGGTTGACAATAACTCAAAGGCTAATGATCTAAAAACAATCAAACCTCGTATTTATACCAATTATGAGTCACTAAATACGTCACTAATCCTAATGCCCCCTCTGAATCCGCGTACATAAAAACACTCTCTCAAAATAGTTGTTTTTTTTTAATTCTTATGGATTGTATTTTTGAATCATTATTTGGCTACATACTAATATGGCACATACTGGGTACAGTCTTTAAGTTCGATGTTTTTTCTTAAAATACTATTTGGTTTATAGAATACTAAGCGACAAAACCGCTTAAATATGATTTTAAGTTTGTGTTGAGAAGTACAGCAAATACAATATATTAGTCTAGTAAAAAGTAATCCACTATTTTTGCAATAGATGGCTTTAGTGATCTGAATCTCGCGATCATGATTGATGGTCCGCTGGATTTTGTTCTGCTTCCGATGGGATTTGCAAGGAATCATTAAGTATAAATTGCTTCCTTACGCCCAAATTTGGAACTGCACTATGAGCAGCGCCTAGCTTTGGCCAACGGAAGGGAAATTATTTTTCATCAGGACAACGCCGGACCATATACATCGATAGTGACTTGCCAGAAGGCTCAAGACTATACCTGGGGAATTCTTATGCATCAACCGCATAGTCCGTACGTGTACTTCGTACCAGGTGATGAACATCTACTTCTTTCGATTGGGATTGATTAGACTGATGAAAATTTGGACCCAATTGAAGTATATAGAAATCGATTGTTCCAATTTGTTTTCCAATAGGGACAAGGGTTTCTATGAGAGAGGCATAATGGCATTACCTTCCAAATGGCAAAACGTTTCATATTTGATATAAATCGGAATAATAATAATTATTGTATACAAAAATAATGGACTATTTTTTACTAGACCTAACATTTTGAAACTACGAGTTGGCTGATGATAATAACGTAATTATGTCAATGCTCAATTGCTATAAATATATATGTATATATTATGAATATATATATCCTGAAGATCCTTAGTTCCGAGGTTTCCAACGATATTCAGCATTGGCTATAGTTTGAAATAGAATAAAGAAAAATTTAATTATTTAACAAATATTTCTATGTTAATTTGTGTATAAGGGAAATAATAAAAAAACAAACTAACAGTGGCACCTTAAAACCGAGCTTAATCAGATATTAAAAAAGAAATTGAAAGTTTTGCATAAATTTTATTACACATTCTTAGAGAAGGATGTGGCCATCTGGAAAGATTTTTACTGCCATCCACCTGGGAGTTCAATCAGCTCACGACTTCCGTTCCTAGACCAAGTGTTCTCATACATTTGGATGCGAGCTGAAGTGAGAAGGCAAAAGCCGTGCGGTTGCGCGTAGGGTATATGAGCCACCACATGAAATATAGACTCCAATGAAAAAATGCAAAAAGCCTCGGATGAGAGAAATCCCCCTTTCGATGACGGCCAATGCAAATGTATAAGCCATCTCGATTCGAAGAAAGGTCCCACTGTCCAGCTGGTGCTGGTTCTCAATAGAATTAAGGCTGACATCATCGGTGTCCAACAAGTGCGACAAATCTGGTGTTGCATTCCTGGTGAAGGAGAGAATCCGTGGTTGAGTACTGGCCTTCTCTCCGGTGGATGAGCTTCTCGCAATCGATCTACTTCACCGGGGCTCGAAATATGTTCAAAGGGTGTGGGAATGGAAAGTGCAGCAGAAAGGAATCAACTTGGATTAGAGTGAAGAGATTTGATTTCTTTATAAGAAAACAATTAAGTATTTTTATTTCACTTACATAATTCCACTGCCGATGTACTGGACTTGGCATATCGTCTACTAGAAAACTGCTGTTTCTTGTCCGTTTTGCACAGTCTAAGAAATATAAATAAATATTTGAGCTGTTTTCTTAATAAAATATGTGAAAGAGAAGTTGGGTAATTCAAAAATTAGGACTAAATCCCACTCTAGCCGATGATGTTTTCCCTTACTTACCTTTTCTTTATCAGCAACAACACCTTTTTCTTCATAACCAACAAAATGAAAATGATTATACCCTGCGAGGCATTGTAAACGTCTGTGGCGGCAAAGAAAAATGCCAATTTATTGTAATTACCAAACATATAGCTGATTATCTCCAGTAGCCAACCGACACCCATGACAATGAACATGCGAAAGAAGAGCCAGACACTGAAATATTGCGCCAATTTAATGCTACTATTTGCGTGGTATTGGATATTTACAAATACACTAAACTCACTTATTTTGGTGCGAGTGCAAATGACGACGGCTGTCCTCGCCGCGTGAGAAATGCTGCAGCTCCTTGCGAATGCTATAAATCTTCTTGGCGGTCAGTACAAATATGGAAATATTAAATATGATAAGCAGTAAGCAGGGTCCATAAAAATAAAGCAAAGCAGACCAGTCATCAACTGGAAAGTAAACAAAAAAATTAGATTTTCAAAAAAATTAGTGCTCAACCCACAACTTACCCTTCAACCAGCAATGTGTGTCTCCAATGCCCGACTTGAGTGCGTGCGGTAGTTTTGAGTTTTGTAGAGATGCGGTCACAATGGTCATTATGGTCGGCAAACCCCAGGCGTAGAGGGAGTAGCAGAGGAATCGTTTGCGTTGGGACAAATGTTGGGCGCCACCTTTGGCGCGACGGAAATTATGCCAAAGATCGAAACAGATCACGTTAAGCCAGAAGAAGACAGCGGTCAAAAAGAAATATGTGATGAAGCCTGTTGAAGTTAAGTTTAATTTAATGTGGAATGTCAAACATTTCAGAATTTCGCAGTTTATATGAAAATACTAAAGTGTTATCCATTTCGAGGATCCCTACTCTTTTAAACATAAATACACAGAAAATTCAAATTTAATTAGGAATGCTTATTATCATTCAAAGTAATATTCTTTAGCACTTATTTTTTTATCAAATGTCGGCCGCGGCTACGTCTCAGTTGGTCCAGCGGTGAGTTCGTTCGAGCATTTCAACTGGTAACTGGCGAATGACCAGCGGAATATTTTGCTCTAAGGCTTGAATCGAAGCGTGATTGTCTGCATAGACTTTATACTTAACATATCCGACAGGAAATAGTCTAACAATATGAAATTGGTGGCCACCCGAGCCGCCCAAAACTTGAAATTATCTACTCATCGAAGCATTCTCTCTATAACTCCCTTGATTGAAGTGACGTGTGGGAAGTGGCGTCGTCTTGTTGAAATTAAATCGGCGAAATCACGAACTTCAATTTTAGTCATCAAATAGTCGGTTACCATGGCGCGATAAAGGTCGCCAATGACGGTTATATTTTCACCGGCGTTATTTTTTAAGAAACCAAACCAAAACCTTTGTTTTCTGGATGAAATGGCAGGACTTGAATCTCTTTAAGTTGATCTTCGCTCCAAATGAGACAATTTTGCTTATTTACATTCCCATTGAGCCAGAAATGGACCTCATCGCAGATCAAAATTTGGCTCAAAAGCATCGGATCTTCTTGCAACTTTCCAAGAGCTTGGGTAGGTCGAGCGGAATAAGTTCCTGCGCTAGCTGTATTTTGTACGCTTTCAATTTAAGATTTCGACGCGAAATGCGCCAAGTCAGTCAATACGTCAGTCTGAGTTGCGGTGAACGGCGCCGAAACGACTCTCGTCTTCAGTCTTCGTGTACTCTCTCAACTACGGCTGCTATATTCTCTTCATGGCATACTGGACGTAGCCTATTTGGTCGAATATTATCCAATACTACGCTCAGTAGGACGTTATGTTGACCACAACTTGAGCAAATCGTGAGAAATACATTACTTACGGACGTGAATTTTCGCAATAAAGTTGAACGATCTGTAAACGTTGTCCAGCTTTACACGACTCACACGTGATCTGTCAAAAAGAGGCAGTTGAAAAAAGTACCTCTACGCGTAGTTGACCGCTGGAGCAATTTTAGGTTCTCCTCGAGGAACCTACAGTTTATTCTTAGCCTTATCCCGGCGGCCGATACATTTTCTGAGGAGGTCACCTAAACTAAAAAAATTATAACCAAAAATAATTTAAAATGAAAATTGTGGAAAACTGGCAACATGGCAAGTGCCATGCCAAAACTTGACAATTGGTATTCGTCTAAGCCTAGGACTAGAGGTGCCAATTGGAGATACCGAGTGAAGCTAAGTCTATCCCCCCCCCCCCCTGATCTTTAACGCAGCGTTGAGTTTTCCTCTTCTTCTTCTTCCAACTGGCCAGAGTTCGTACCCATGTCCCTGTTGTACATTCGGCCACTGTCAAAAATAATTAAACTCACCTATGATAGAACAATTAAGATCCTCGAAATCGGAGTTTTGCACATTGACAACTACAATCATAGAGGTGCCAACAGCCAAGGAAAGCAGATAGCTGATTAAGCATTTGGTATGTAAGTTCCACAGTTCCGGTATGAGCCAATAGATCAGTATAGTCGCAAATAGAAATGGTGCTGAAATCATCATAACTGAAATTAAGAAAAAATATATTTTCTAAAAGTTCTTCCCATAAATAAATGATTTTTGATTTTTTCTCCTTCGCTCATTTCTCCCTCTATCCTCCCGCTCCACTTCACTTCACCCTCTACTTCTCTCACTTACTTTTCGTATTGAGCATCATGGTTGGTGGCTCGCTATACATACTCGGACAGTTCATGGGGTTCAAGACAAACTCTCCGCTAAAATTATACGCTTGGAAGCAATAATCACGTCTAGAAAGGTAATCCCTGTCACGCAGTAAAGTGCCATTCTGTGAAGCGGAAATGTTTGGAAATTCTTGACCAAAAAACAAAAAACACATAATTCTTACCTCGAACAACTCCCACTTATCCTCTTCGTACACATGCGGCATCAACGGATATACATCCGCGCATGGTGTTCCCTGTTGCACCACAAATTCCTCCAGTAAATGCATTGAAACCCGCGAATTGTTACGCAATGTCACATTAACAAATGGCGTATATTTGGGTTCGTCACTGAGTTGCTCATTGTCGCATTGTGGTGAAGCGTGTTCGCTGCTCTGAAACATATCCGCTCTAGGATGGCAGCAGAACCTTACACACTGCTTCAGCTTACAAACACAGCCCCGTGTGTGTTTCTCCACCTTCTGGCGCGCACCTTCGAAGAGTTCGATGTAGTCATATTCACCGATGTATTGCGGTGGCACCAATAAACCTTCGTAGATGTATGAACCGTTGGTAAATTTTTCGCGCGCAGTTAAGTTGACGGTGTCCTCGAAGGCGCAGTTGGGTATATCTGCTTTAGAGTCGGAGAATAGGGACCATAACGTTCCGAGGTACAACAGGAAAATATGTGTTGCCATCATTGGTAGCTGAGGGATTACAAAAAAGTGGATGTTATAGAAAACTTTCAAAGAACTTCTATCCTCTTCTCCTTTACTGCGTATTCCAATTTCACGCTTGATGAAACCAACTCAAGAGCTGGTTCTACAAGGTCTCAGTTTTTTTCTTAATTCACGTCTTTGAATTATCATAATTATTATTCCTTTTTCTTTTTCCTTTGCTGCCAAGTTTCCAATTTCTTTATCAATTCCAGGCTGGCGAATAAACTCATAGATTGGAACTACAAGTTTATCTAACGAATTCAAAGATCATCCTTCTGGAGCTCGAATCTGCAAAGCAAAAATTTATGTTCGCAAAAGCAGTAGAGCGCCCATCCAACTGATACGAGAGGCGACAACCACATAAAAAACGGAATAAGCCCAGTTAATATTCAACAGCTAAAGTTCAGTAATTAAAGAATTTCGAAATTTAGTTGTTGAGAGAAGTTTTTTTGATGTTCAAAAGTGAGTCTGAGATGTCGAAGGTGTTAGAATGGCAATTAAAATTGTGACATATTCGGCGAAAGGGTTGATTCAATTCATAAACTGCCTCGATACACGAGTTGGAACATTGAACTTTACCTCAGACAAGGCCCATGAACTACAAATTGATCCGTTAGGAAATTTCACTACGAACTGTGGGCCTCACATTTCTCTTCGACTTGCGAGGGTAGGGAGTTTTAGCAGCTTTAAACGGTCGGTATAGGGAGCCGAAGTTCCATCGGAAGTGTCTCAATGCAAAAAGTAAAAATTGTTTTTGAACAGACTCTAACCTATCGGAATGAAGTTGATAATTGGGGTATTATATCAGTGAACCATATTCTAGTGTTGGCCTCACCAAAGTCGTATAAAGTGCCTTAGTTACAAAAGGGTCTTTAAATTCTTTTGACAATCTTTTGACATCTTTGGCTTTAAAGACTGTGGTATTGGTATAAAGATGGAAGTTGAGCTCAGGTTCCATCACAAAGCACAACAAAGTCGTACACTTGTTCTAGACTCTACTCGAACTTATTCATTGTATAAGGAGAAGTGTGAACAGGGCAGAAAACCACATCCTTTTTACATTTCTGAAGGTTCAATGGCATGTTCTTGCTATGTCTAGATCGTTTTGTAATAAAAACAATTCGTCGAATGAGGTATATGATATAAAAACTTTTACATCATTGGCATATAAGAAGCTACGGCAGATATATCATTTATAAAGAACTGAAAGAGAAACAGACCGATATGAGTACCTTGAGAGAGAGGTTCCTGATGAGACGATAATTAAGTGTCTGTCATTCTATTACAGAGAAACGTGGAAACCCATAGGAAAATCTTGCTTGAAACCCAAGAAGTACTAGTTTGTGGATGAGAATTGAGTGATTAACCCTAATGAATGCTGAATAGAATTTAGCGGTCGCGCATGTCATTAAGGCAGTCCGTATTACTTAACATTCCGCCCTCATATAAACTACATTTCATCGAACATTTCGCAACTTTCACATTTCGCGTACTAAACTGGTGATACACTAAGGCCCTGGAAGTCAAAAGGTATGCAGTAGCTTTTCTGTTGTCCACTCCTCCCATGCGAATGGGGTATGAGGGTTCTTGCAGAAAGTTCACCTGACACCATTTATCTCACAGCGGACCCCGCTACAATGTCGTATGGATTTGGGTTGAGTAATCTTCCGAGTCCAGCCAAATGGAATAGTTCTTCGCGCTCCCTTTATGGAGAGTCCATGTTTTAAATTTTGCTTGGCGCGGTGCAACTGCCCAAAGCACAATAGAGTAAGAATGAATTGTCTGATGTATGACACTTATGTTGAGGCCAGGCGATAGCCTTCACGTAGCACCTACTCCACCTCCTCCATTCTTTCTTAACCAAAGAGATTCTCTGCAACCACAGACTTTTTTGAAAATACTCAATCTTACAGTTCACAGTTCATGGCAGATATACACTCGAAGTGTGTGACGGTTCCTGGCGAGGTGCACCGCAATTGGAAAAATTGATATTCTTAAATTTTGGATGTTTGTCGAACCAATCGGATATTGCAAAAAGAAGCTGACTCTACGCCGTTAAGTCTGAATTTAGTATCCCCGTAAAACTTATATGGATGTGTAAACTGAGGTTAGACAACACCAGAAGCGCACTCAAAATTGGGAAGGACCTCTTCGGGTCATTCGGTACTAAACGAGGTTTCAAACAGGGTGACTCCTTGCCGTGTGATTTCTTCAATTTGCTGCTGGAGAGAATGGTAAGAGCTGCAGAGCTGAATAGAGAAGGTAAAATCTTCTATAAGAGTGAAAAACTACTGGCGTACGACAATGATATTGACATTATCGGCCTCAACAACCGCGCCGTTAGCTCTACTTTCACTAAGCTTGACAAGGAAGCGAAACGAATAAGTCTGGTAGTGAAGGAGGACATGACGAAATATTTCCTGTCGTTAAACAAACAGCAATCGCATACGCGAAAGGGCTCCCATGTCACTGTTGACAGACATAACTTCGAGGTCGTAGATACATTCGTCTATCTAGGGACCAGCATAAACAACAATAATAATGTCAGCCTTGAAATCCAATGAGGAATAATTCTTGCCAACAGATGCTACTTCGAACTGATTAGGCAATTGAAAAGTAAAGACCTCTCTCGGCGAACCAAAACCAAACTCTACAAGTTACTCATCTTTGCTGTCCTCCTATATGGTGCAGAAGCGTTAGCGATGTCAATATTCGCCAGCGCGCCAGCTTTAAATGTATTGAAGAAGGCCTCCACTCTATTGGAAGGATCAGTCGGAGAGCGATCTGGTTTCACTTGGTATTTCCAACTGGTGCAGCGAAGAATCGAATGTCGCGCTATTTTTTATTAGGTTCTATAATCGCGTAAACGGTGCCGACGTCAATGAAAAAGAAGAAAAAAAGAAGAAGAAGGGAAACTAAAGTTCGTTAAACGCAGAGCTCATGAGATATCACCGTTAACCATGGAAATCTGTTTGGTATGTGTGCCAATTGTGTATTAAACCCAAACCGAATTCCCCCTGAGTCACGAATAAATCCACCCTCTCTATCACACAATTCCTTATCTAACCTTAGTAATGCAAACCCTCGCTCAAAGCTTTCGCTTTTATCAGAACTTTTTTTTTTTTTTAGTGTTGTTTGTTATTATGAGTAATTATAGTTAATCAATAAAATAATTATGCTATATTTTTCAAAATAATTTTGTATTTTCAACCTCTAATCGGCAATGCCAACTGGTTAATCAGCGAATACATATTTACATATGTATGTATGGACGATATAATTATTTTGAATTAAGAGCAGCGATAGGCGGCAATCGGCCAGTTTTTATCACACTTTCTCTAGTTTGAAACGGATTAGTTTGTATGTGTGTGCGTACTTTTTGAGTCATTAATTGCAATGTCTGCACTGAAAAGATTTAATTTCCATTTTTTTGAGATTGGCGACTTAACTCACACGTTGTGGATTATATAACGACTTAGAGAAGATGGAATTTCCCGCAGGGAAAAGCTGCACTAACCATTCAAGTGTGTGATTTGTGGCTTTCATCACGCTTTAGGCCAAATTATTTTAGTATTAACATAATTAGGGAAGTGACGGCCACTGTTGGCTCGAATAACTCCCAGCCAAGGGATCACTTTTTGCAGCCTCAAAACAATGTTGAGCAATTAATTTTTCACGTGCTATTTCCTACAGCTTCTCAGATAAAGATTCTAAACTAATGCATGGTGTTGACATGAATGTAGCAACAACACAAATTGTTTGGTTCCTAAGAACAGCAGTGACCATAGTAATAGTGGCGCACAATAAATATGAATTAATTCTATTAATTTTTCGGCGATTGAATTTTATAATTTAAACAAGTTTAATAAATTCAAAAATAATTTACTTCGTCATAGTTTCTATTATAAGCACTTAAGTATTTCTGAGAAGTATCTGTGCACATACTAATGACATACATATCTATAAGTGACGACGTAGAATGATACGATTTGCTTAAGGAAAGAGACGAATATGCAAAGAATTGTTGTTGTCACTCTTGTTATGTGCAGACAGTACAAATTTTAATGATCATTCTAAGCAAACTGCTAAAGTTCTAAGGAGTCGAGTTCAGCTTTTTTATTTATTATTTATTCTTTCATACTCATTTATTCTAAAAAAAAGAATTATTTTAAGTAAACTGAAATTATATATAAAAATAAATTAAATTAAAACCATTAAATTAATAAAAAATTATGTATATAAGTTTCACTAATATAATATCATTTTTTCTTATTTTTAATTTTATTTTTTTTATTTCATTTCATTTTTTTATTTTATGTTTTTTGTTTTCTATTTATGTTAAAAGTCTAATTTAATTTTTTTAATATTTATTTTAGTTGACTAATTTTTATTTATTTTATGTTATTTTACTTTATATTATTTTATTTTGTTTTAGTGTGTTTCATTTTATCTTATTTCATTGTATTTTTTGTTATTTTAATATGCTATATTTTAATTTTTATTTAATTATTCTTTATTAATTTCATGTAAATTTATTTAATTTCTCTTATATTATTTTTAGTTTGTTAATTTAATTTGCTATATTCAAAATTTAATTTAAATTATTTGCATTTATTTATTTTATATTAATTTTATTTAAATTAAATTAATTATACATAATTAGCGCTTTGTAGCCGCTGAAGCGATTTTTATCACGTTTTACTTTATAATGTTTTATTTCTTACTTTATTTTGTCTTATTTCAAATTATATTTAATTATTTTAATTTACTATACACTAATTTTAATTTTTTTATTTTATTTTCAGATAATTATTTTACATTATTTTATCTAAATTAAATTTATTTCATTTTATATTATTTTATTTATCTTATTTTTTTTCCTTTTATTTTACTATTAAATTTACCACAAAACAGTTCGTTTTATTTTATATTATTTTATTTTTATCTTATTTTATAGTATTTTAAAATTTTTAATTTTATTTTACTTTAATTACTGAACTTTGTTCCCTTTATTTTATTGCAATTTGCTCTTATAATTTGAATTTCAATTTACTTTACTTTAAAGTATTTTGTTTTAGGCCACTTTATTACATCTTATGTTATTTAAGTTTATTTTAATTTATTTTATTCTATTTAATTTTTTTTTGTTAATTTATTAAATTTTAATTTTTATTTAATATTATTTTATAATAACTTACCTTAACTTATTTTTCTGTTTTATTTTATATTATATTATTTGGTTTTATTTTATTTTACTTTTCATTTCATTATATTTATTTTACTTTGTTCTGTGGGACTTGTTTTATTTTATTTCATTATATTAAGTTTTATTTTTCTTATTTTATTTTAATTTATTTTTTTTTTAATTTTTGTTTTTATTTCATTTTGCTAATTGTTTTTAGTACATTTTTTTGTATTATTTTTTATGTTTATTTAATTAATTTTATTTTTTTTTTATTTTAATTACTTTATTAAAATTTTTCTATTTATTTTATTTTACTTTATAGTTAATTTATTTTGGTATTTAATTTCTATTTTTTTATTCTATTTTTTATTTTATTTAATATTTTTTGTTTGTTAATTTTTTGTATGATATTTTCATGTTAATTTGTTTAATTATATTTCAATTTTAATATTAGTTAGTTCAGTTTATTTTGTCTTTTATGTTAGTTCATGTTAATATATTTTATATGTTTTATTTACTTTATTTTATTTTATGAATTTTGTTTAATTTACTTTTTTAATTTATTAAGTTTTCGTTATTTTATTGTATTATATTTTATTTTGTTTCATTTCATTTTATTTGCCTACATTATATTTATTAAATTTTATTTCGCTTGAGTAAATTTTTTTAGTTTTTTTTTTAACTTTATTTATTTAATTTACTTTATTTTTTTTAATTTTAATTTATTTAGTTTTCTTTATTTTAATAAAATTTATTTTTTATTTATTTTATTTTTTGTGTACAATAATATTTATGTTCGTTAATTTATTTTTTAATGTTATTTAATTTAAATTTTTTGTATGTTCATTTTGTTTTTTGCTTAATATATTTGTTTACAAAAATTTCACTAACCCCTATAAGATTTCGGTGCTCAAATTAAATTTTTCCGATCTATAGCTATATATATATATATATATAGCTCCTTTTTGAAATAAAAACCGGCAACGATTTTTTAGCAAAATATTAAAAGAAAATTTCTTCACAAGTTCATATTCTCACTACATCCATAGATATGGTTTTTTTTTTCTTTTAAATACTTTTACAGCTCAAACATTATTTTAGACCGCAATTTTTCATTGGATTTAATTACAATATTAATAAATAAAAATTACTTAAACCCAATTGCTCTCTTTGCGCGACGATGTACTGCCTCGAGCGTTCAATGAAATGTAACTGATCGGATATTTCTTTAAAATGAAGAAACTAAGTCCATATCTAAGTTTATACAAATATACTACTCACTCGTACGTGAGTACTAAAAAATGTGTGATAAATTCATGAATACATTGATTGTTACGTTCGTTGTTTATGCGTTTATACTCGTATGGATGTATGTACGCTGCGTACGTATGTATGTGTGCGCAAACGAAGTCATTTTCTTATTTTCTATCAAAAAAGCATTTTTTCCTTTAGAGGTACATACAAAAAGTTTATACAAATATATGTATACATACATATGTACATACTGGCAGATTTTAAATTTTTTTAATTATTATTTAATTTGATTAAATTTATAAAAAAAATAGTGTAATATAAAGGTTTAATGAAAGCTCATTTGTTGTTAACATTTGGCTGCAAACAGCGACAATATTCCTGGAAAATCTTCTTGTTTTCAATTGAAAATGAAATAAAAATGGTTGAAATGAAGACGAAAATTCTCTAGATTTCAAAAAAAAATTCTCGTTCAGTTACAACAACGACTGATATGAAATTGTGCTTTTAAACTGTAATTTCCCAACTTTGGTGTTAAGTCGCCAAATTTGCGCTCCTTTATTTGACCGCTGTAGTAAATTTCATACCTACCTCCTACTCGTTTTCGTCCTTGTCCTGTCCCTCGCACTTCTTGGACTTTAACCTTTATACCTACGATAACATTAACCAACTGGACAGCGGCGCCTTCATAACATTTCAGATACATATCCTCAAGTCGTGATCCTTACCGGACCGGATTACCTAACATTTTTGCTACATTTCACGAATCGGAGAATTCTAGGCCAGCGATATCGAATTGCCTTTAATGAGTCGATGGATTAATTGAAATATTTAACTATTTTATTTACCATTTTTTTAATTTTCTACATATTCAAGTAGTTAAATAAGATTATGTGAGTGGAAGTCTTGAGAGACTTCAATAATCAATTTTAAATAATTATAAAAAAAAGGTTTCCTATCTAAAAGCAGCCACAGTTGCAGAAGAGCTGTCGGCTCTTCGATATTTCCTTAGAATTCGCGCATTGAATTGTATAGCCTTGGAACACAAGATCGTCGAATTTCGAGTTCTAGCGCTCACGGCTTTTCAGAAATTTATTTCAAGGCGATGTCTTCTTCCTTGATCTCGTCCTTGTAGCCCTCTGCAATCAAAATACGTAACAACATTATGTATAATTTTATTAAGAAAACTATTTAGTTTTGCTTTTCTAAGTGACTTTACCTTTGAGTTTATCCGTTCTCGCTTGATCTGCGGCATGATAGATCTGCGTTAAGTACACATCATTATCCGGTCTCTCTGGTGTTCTGTAAGGCAAGTAAAATGTCCTGAATGAAGATATTTTGGTTTATAAATAAATCCAATTCTCTCGCAAGTATTTACAACTTACACATTTACATGCCACCAGAGGCGTACTAATGGGTTTTTGTAGAGTAGGAAAAATAGACCGGCAATGGATAAACCGAAAATGCAAACTCCCGTCACGAAGTCGATGATATAATACTGGCCGCGCCAACGGAAGGTGAGATAAACCACTAACTCACGCAGCCATACACAGGAGACGCCGAGCAGATAGGCAAAGAATGCATAGAAACTGTGGAAGAAAATCAATTGATTAAATTAAAATGAGTCTCTAGAAAAAATATGATACAAACTGAGCGAAAAGGAGTTAAAATAATTTTAATTAGTTTCGATATCAAACGGAACCGTGGTAGTGAGTGGAGAGTGAGCTAGACCAACAGGCAAGTCAACATGAGCAGACTAAGTGGGTTATGCAACTTTTCCTCTTGCGGCACCGTCAAATCACTGCCTAACACGATGAGATGCAATGAACGGATGGATTTCATTCGGTGACCGTGCTTGGTCGAGTCGAATGAGTATGCGAACTATTTGAACCGACTTAAATAATAACCCGCCATAGTACCCAATTCGCAAAATTCCAAATGTGGCATTTGCGGGAGCATAATTTCTCACTAGGGTATTTAATCTGTATTTGTCCACTTTAAAGATACTCTACAATGAGAAATAGGGTACTGTAGTCTCGCTACTCGAACAGAGGAAACGCCGCAACAAACTAGAATCGTATTGACCGACAGCTATGCTTCCATCAGTTGCGAAGGCTCTTGAGGATTTGCTGCTCCCGCACCTCACACATCATTAGATCCCAGCAGCGCCATTAATATCCAGTTAATCCTTAACCTTAACCAAAATCGTTCCTGCGCGTAAACTGTCCTGGCAGCGCTGGACTTGTCGAAAAGCTCTATCAATCATGCAGTGCTACTTTTAGACGTTGAGAGCTCTCATTACCACCGCTGTTGAGGATACGGACCTGAGTAGTCTGCAGTTATTGGTCGAATTTTGAGGCTACAATTCAAAACTAAGCGAAAATTTCACTTGCGAAAGAGACAAGGAGCTTTGCCCGCTACTTACAAGGCAATTAAAAATTACGTCGTACTGATTTGGAGCAGGACATAGTTGAGAAGCTATAAATCTGCCATAATACTACCCTGAGGACCGGCACAGACAATTACCTGATGTCAACAGGATTTCACTTACATACTGAAACATCTATGCGTGTAAGCAATATGGGTAAGAAGCTCACCGAACGGTTCATTTCTGAAGATATCTACGGGAAACAGAAGCACCACTCAGCTACATTAGTGAGTAATCGATATGGAGGCGGAAAGATACCGACAAGACTCTTTCATTAACTTCCTAGTAATTACGTAAACGAAACACAACTATCACCCATAGCCGACCAAAAGCTCGAGCTGCCTTGTGAGAACCGAGTTGCGCTGGCGTAATTAAGATTTGGGTACAGCAGGCTCAACTTCTAATTATTCAGACTCGATCCCGACATACTTAAAATGTGCCAGTGTATGCCTACTAAAACCCACTTGGCTTCTTATAGTCCGAGCACTTCGAAACAGCATGTTTCCTAGCCATGCCGGCAGTTATCCTCGACGACGTGGGCTCATTTTGACTGTTTTCAAGCCACTACAACAACAATAGCACCAACAGGAGAGTTATTAGTATAGCCTATAAAGCCCTTTTCGGAAAAAACGCTCTGTGTACTCCTTGTAAGGCAATATTTTCGGAAAGTGGAGCATCGTGACCGGGCCGTACTCTCACTTGAGAGGTCTTTTGTGTGATTGTTTATCTCAGCCGATTGTTTAGCAGTGTGTGCTATCAAGCAGTAAATTCTAAGTGCGAATTTGGGCGCAAACAACAGCCAAGTATCCACGTTCGCCTCGACAAGCAATATCGGACCTTCGAGTGTGTTTTTAGTATGAAATAAAAGCAAACCAAAGGCCGCTTTTGTTGTGAACCAAAACCAAAGAATATAGGAAAATTTGTTGCTAATTGTCGTTGCCGCCTGGAGTTCTCTTCTCTCTGCTTTCCAGATTTTTAATGGTCTTACGTCAACACACTACGAAAGCCCTTGAAATTCTTTTTAATCTTTTCTCGGCAGACCTATACGCGGAAACGCCATGCGAGCTGTAGAGCCATAAGATTAAATGCAACTCAACCATGGAGGAACAGCATGGGACACGCCTAAATTTTAACTCAACATCAGTCTCGGAAGACGTAGACTACACCAATTCCGTCTTCTATTTTGGCAATACTTTCTCAAAAAAAAAATCCTTAGGAGGAAGGAATGGGAAAATGCAGCATTTCTGTATCAGAGCTCCGTAGCCATTTCCCCAACGATTCTAAACTAGAAGGCAAAGTGGGCTGCGAAGTTCACTCTGAAAGTTTTGCTAGAAAATTAAGACGAAAACTTGACGGTAACTGCAGCGTATTCCAAGTGGAACTAACCGCTATAACGGATGTCACTTCAATTGGTCTTTACGTGGAAATAAAACGCAGAGTTCTAAAACAAACTCTCGATTACATATATGCGAAACCTCCGTAGTTTTTAGTCCCTAGTTTTGAGTCACAGGAAATCCTACGGAACTAAGCAGTAATCGATTAACTGGCCAGGAAGAGAACTGTTCTTACCGCGACAAACTCTGCTTATGACGAGAACATATCGCTTTCCTTGGTAAAATGTCTGCTAAGACTAGCCTTCGCCATAAAGGCCAACCGCAGATGACCATCAATCGATATAAACATAAATAAGTCTCTACTTAGACTCAAGCAACCTTTTAAACTAACTAACTACGCTAGCTCAGGCACCCAATTACAATCTCGAGAACGCTTCACTGTCGCTTTCCTTCGGACACTCACTGCGCTTTTATCAGCTTAATATCATAACCAGCAACATTTATGATGTCGTCAGATAAATTCCAAATGATTATGTAGGTTCGAAGATAGAGTAACATGCTGAAACCCAAGCAGATCAAAATCGGGATGTAATAGTAGAGGAGAATACCCCACAGGCGTACTTAAAAGAAAAGAGATGAAAAAGAATATAAGTATGAAATAAGTCTAATAATTTTGCGCTCCGCAAAACTGATCACTCACCATCAAACCAACAAAACGCATCACCAATACCAGGTTTTAAAGGTTGATACACATCCGAGTCTTGTATGAATTTCAATAAAAACCTTAGACCCACGGCCAGGCCAAAGGCAAGCATGTAAATTATCTTACGTTTCCAACTGCTCAAGCGTCTCGTCTTGAAATTATACCAGAAATTCCAACTTATAATCGTTAGCAGAAAGAATGAGAACATCAAGAATACATAAGCAATGAAACCTGAGAGAGAGCGAGAGAGGGAGAGAGAGAAAAAGAGAAAGAGAAATATCACTTAATCCTTTTTTCATTATTTTCCCCCCTACCAATATTACGACAAGCCGTTTCGGAAAGTTCCAAACGTGATCTCAACGCTAGATATGTTAACGCTGCTAGGCCAATGATTGTAGAAGCCAAATGAAAGATAAGCGATTCACCATAACCACCATTCCGTACCGCTCTTATCGAGACCAAAGTGAGTAGAATGAAGGCGTAGACAAGTGTGGCGATAAAGAGACCTGTGGGTGTGATACATATATATATACATAAAAGTTATATTTTAAAAATATAAAAATAATTTTTTTACGTGATTTTCTTACATATAACATAGATCCATAAACGGAAGCCATGCGCCGAGCGCTCGCATGTGAGCGGCACCAAACTCCAGACCTTCTTATGTTCCAAAGGTGTTAAACAGTACTGATCTGTGTCCCAAATTTTGTCCAAACTAGAGAGTGAGCCATTCTGTAAGCAGATATTTGAAAAAAAAATTTAACTACTTAACAAATGGCATCATGTGATGTGAATACGTGTGATTTGTAGGTGAAGAATGAGTGAGCAGTATGTGTTGATTTTAACTACTGTATTCCATTGTAAATTAAAAGTTTAAATAATACTTCTGAGAAAAACCTACTTGTTTGAAGAAAACAGGGAAAATATTCTAATGACTTTGTTTTTTTAAGTAACCTATGATATCACATCATTATTATATCACTTGATTATATTTAGCATTTTATTGATATATTTTCTTTTTATATAAATAAGTGTGGTAATATGTGCATGATAATAAACATAAATTGTGAAAACGCAACATCACATTGACTCACATCACAACATCACATTGACTCAAATCACAACATGACATTAAACTTATACTAGTGTACATGATAACGAATGGTTTTTATGTTTTTTTATATAAATGTATTCAGTTTTATACTAAATTTTCACATATTGATTAATTTTTAAAGATTTTATTTTCAAACAAACTCTAACAACACTTAACATTAGCATCATGTGATGTGTCAGTTTTCTTCATGCCCATTTTTCATTTTTTTTTAATAAATTTATGTCATTAAACGCCGTACAAAGAATGGTTTCTTGGTAAATTAATAACTTATTTTATCATTTCAAATTTCCCAAAAATTTCAACTTTTAATAAAATTATACAAAGTGACATCACATAGAATGCATCACATGTGAAATGTGTGATGTATGATCGAAAGAAGAGCAATCTCATATTTACAATTAAAAATTGTGTTTCATTCGCTAAATTTGAGTACGAGAAGAGTTTTTTATATCTTCCTTTTTTATAATTTTATTTTTCTTTATAAAATCATGTGACGTCGCATCAGTGTCAGATAGATACATTAAAAAATATATTTTTTTTAGTAAAATTTTTTTTATTTCTACAAACTAGCATTAGATTTGATTTTTTGATATATATAATATTATTATGTATATTATGTAATATATTATGTATAATACAATAAAAAACGCACATGGCTTCAAAAATCCTATCGCATCATCACAAAGGCATGTGATCATTTCTTCACTCAATTATTAATATATGCATATTATACATAGTTCAGTAATTATTTTATTATACATATTAATAAATGTACGTGGAAAACCCAGCAGAACCTATGTTTGTTTGATTTAGAATACATGCATATAGATAATTTTATTTATTACAATTTTTTTTAATCTCGATGGGACAGATTGTTTGAGTTAATATTTTCAATTTTTTTTTTTAAATTTTTGTTAAATATTTTAAACACATGATCAACTAATATATTTTATTAATTTTTTTAAATTACAAGATTTGTAGAAATTTCATATGATATCATATGATGTGACATCACGACACAAAGTCACTTATTGATTCCACAGCATTTTACATTTAAGTGCGAAATATTATATATATACTTTTATATATATATCTTGTAATATTTTTTAATGTAATTATTAATTGATTTTATTTTTTTTGTTTTTTTTTTTTTTTTTTTTTTTTTTTTTTTTTTTTTTTTTTTT